ATGCTGGGAGATGAATTCTCACTTGCCTTGCAGGCATGTCAAATGCTGAACACGCAAGTGTGACAGTTAAAATGATGGCTAAAAGGAAATGTATGCCCTGGTCCTGCTGATAACCTCCCTGTGCAGGTCCTGTGGGACCAGTGGGACCAGAGGGTTGTCAGAGTGTTTGTGGGATGTCTGGATTCCACAGGCAGGCAGGTGTGCCAGTTCCACTCCTGGCATTTCCATTGAGGTGCTGCTGCCTTGGATTGATGGAGCAGGACCTGCTCTCCTCAGGTAATGCAACCAGCGTCTCTCAGCAGCCAGCATGAGTTGAGGAATAAAGAACACTAAAATTCTCTGGAAATGCTCCCCCTGGGCACTGTTACCCAGAAGCCTTAAGCCTTTTATCCCCCTGAAACAGCACTGGGAGTGGGCTGTGATTCAGACTCAGAAGTGGATTGATGCTGAAGTGCCTTAATGAGCTGGAAGAACCCTCTGCCCCCACTCTGCTCCGTGCCTAATGCATCCACTGGCAGGTGAGGGGCTGCTCTTCCCTCTCACAGCCTTTTAGAGCCATCACAAACAATCCTGGGGAGCCCCAAGTGTCTGTGGCCCCTGCCAGAGCCTCCAGGAGCCTCTGTGGCCCTGGGGACACACCTCTGCTTTACTGGGAGAAAGCCATACTGCTCCTGCTGTGGAGGGGGTGGCACAGGGAGCTCTTCCTGCCAGCAGCGGCCACTTGGGCTTTGTCACAGCCCTGTCCCTCCTTTCTTCTCCTCTGCAAGTAATGGGATTTCTAAACGAATCCCTGAGGGATCAGTTTCACTGTACCACCACCCTCCCTAACCCCAGTGACAGCTTTACAGTACTGAGTCTGAGGGTGGAACTTGGCTTTTCATCTCGAGTTAAGAGCAAGACACCAAGTTGTGACAGGGAAAAGCCCTGCTGACACTTGTGTTGTGTGGCTGCTCTTGGTTCACGTTGGGGCTGTGAGCCCTGGCTTTGGCAGAAATGCTTTTGTTATTCCTTTGTGTTAAAATTTCAAGACCAAATCTGTTTTGTTCTCGGTGTTTGGCCACCATGGGGGACGGTGGCCAGGAACTGGTTGGTTTGTCCCACACGGGGAGCATGCAGCAGTGTCTGTCTGTCTGTCCTGCTCTCCCTGGGTGTTCTGTTCCAGGCTGTGTCTGTCCCCAGGCTGCTGGTGCTGTCTCCTGAGCAGAACACATTTCCAGGGCTGTTTTTGAAGCCGTTTGTCCTGACTGCCGGGAGCTCTGCAGGTTCTCAGGGGGTTTGGGCACCATCTCCTCCTCCCCTTTGCTTTGGGGGTGCAAGATCTCATTCACGGGTGCTGTGAGGGGACAGGCTTGCCCTCTGCCCCTGCAGAGGTGATTGTGAGGTGAGATTACTGTGGCTGACAGCTCTGTCCCAGCAGCTGGGCTGTGTCCCCTCCTCATCCTCGTGCACAGCTCAGCCCCTCTGGCCCGGAGGGTGCTCCCTGTGCTGTCTGCTGCTGCTGCAGGGCAAATCCTGGGAAATCCACCCTCCAGGCCCGTGTTTCCTCCCTGTCCCCCCTTCCTCGTGCCACGCGTGTCCCCCGTTCCCCCGTGTGCTGCCCGGTCCCGTCGGGCTCGGTGTCTCTGTGCCAGCCTGTGTCTCAGCGCTGCTTTCTATCGAGTGTTTGGAGAATCCAATAAAGCTGCTCTGACCCACTCGTGCGAGCCCGTCCTGCCTGGGAGGGGAGGGAGCAGCTCCGGGGCTGCTGCCGGTGCCCGGTGCGAGCGGCGCCGGTGCCTGGTGGGAGCGGTGTCAGTGGCTCCGCGGTGCCCGGTGCTGCCGGGGCGGTGTCAGTGGCTCCCCGGTGCTCCTGGTGCCGGTGGGAGCGGTGTCAGTGGAAGTGGCTCTCCGGTACCCGGTGCTCCCGGTGCCGGTGGGAGCCGTGTCAGTGGGTGCCCGGTGCTCTCCGGTGCCCGGTGGTCGCGGTGCCGCCGGGGCGGTACCCGGTGCTCCCCGGTGTCGGTGCTGGCGGGGCGGTGTCAGTGGCTCTCCGGTACCCGGTGCTCCCGGTGCCGGTGGGAGCCGTGTCAGTGGGTGCCCGGTGCTCTCCGGTGCCCGGTGGTCGCGGTGCCGCCGGGGCGGTACCCGGTGCTCCCCGGTGTCGGTGCTGGCGGGGCGGTGTCAGTGGCTCTCCGGTACCCGGTGCTCCCGGTGCCGGTGGGAGCCGTGTCAGTGGGTGCCCGGTGCTCTCCGGTGCCCGGTGGTCGCGGTGCCGCCGGGGCGGTACCCGGTGCTCCCCGGTGTCGGTGCTGGCGGGGCGGTGTCAGTGGCGTGCCCGGTGCCCCCCGGTGCCGGTGCCGGCGGGGCGGTGCCCGGTGCTCCCGGTGCCGGCGGGGCGGTGTCCCGGGCCGGCCCCGCCGAGGCCGCATGCCCGGTGCCGCGGGCCCCATTGGCCCCCGCAGTCACATGCCGGGCGGCGGCGGGGCTGCCGCTCCTCCTCCGTCCCTCCCCGCCCGCCTGCCTCCCTCGGCCGGGCCAGCGCTGGGAGCGGCCGCGATCGCACCATGAGCACCCTCAAGGTCTACAGCACCTCGGTGACCGGCTCCCGGGAGGTGAGCGCCGGGCACGGCTGCGCCGGGCAGGGCCGGCGGCTCCGGGGCCGCTCTTCCCGGGGGTGGGCGCCTCTTGTCCGTGCGGCAGCCAAGCCCCCCCGCCCCATCCTCGCTGTCCCCTCTCTGCTGCTCGAGCTGTACCGTCCCCATCTGTCCCCAGAGCCACCCACAGGCGGGGGGCACTGTGCCGAGCCCGGCTGGCACGCTGGGTGTGTGCCCACCCTTGGGGCTCCTCTCCATCTCCCCGTAACCTGCCTTTCCCACCCGGGTTCCAGATCAAATCCCAACAGAGCGAAGTAACCCGAATCCTCGACGGGAAGAACATCAAGTACGAGCTGGTGGATATCTCGCAGGACAACGCTCTGCGGGAGGAGATGAGGGCCAAGGCAGGCAACCCCAAAGCCATCCCACCCCAGATCGTCAACGGGGACCAGTACTGCGGGGTGAGGCTCGTGCTGCGCGCCGGGGTCGGGTGCTGGGTGCTGTCCCGTTCTTGGCTTTGCCACACGTGTTCAGGATGCTTTTTAAGTTATTTCTTGTGAGGTGCAGGGACCAGGTGCTGCCAGGAAAAAGGGGACCCGGGCGGGGGGGCTTTGGGTGGCAGCGGGGCTGTGCCCCCTTTGTCCTGTCATCCAGCTGGTGCCAGGGCTGTGAACCAGATTGTGCCGTGGGCTCGGGGCTCCTCCTGCCTCGTGAGCAGTGTGGCGTTTCCCTGCAGGATTACGAGCTCTTCGTGGAAGCTGTGGAGCAAAACACCCTGCAGGAATTCCTCAAGTTGGCCTGAGCCCTGCTTCCCCTCCCATCCTGGACTCTACCTGCATTCCTGAGCGCCCTCATCTCCGACCACCTTCACCTCCAGGATGTCAGCGCTGTCCTGGCACCCACCACCTGTATCCCAGCACAGGGAAAAACCCACGACCAAAACTCCTCATTGCAGCTGCCTCCGACTCCCTCCCGCCTAACCCCGGTATCATCTCAGAGGGATCCAAAGAAAGTTGACGCTCGCTGCTTGGCCTGTGAGCAGAGCTGGGCCTGGCTCACGGCAGCTTCCAGTGCCTCTGTAAACAGCAAAGCCTGCGGGGCCGTGCGAGGTGATCCTGGCCCTCAGCCCCCTCCTCTGCCTCGCCAGGGAGGGGCTCAGGGCTGCACGGTACTTCCCACTTCTCCCAGTTGCTGTTAAAATTGTAAATTCTGCTGCCTCACTTCCTTTTTTTTTTTTTTTGTCTTCCCCCCCCCCACCATCTCAACTGCAGAGATTATGGCAACTAAGTAAAGGGTTGGGGTTTTTTTTTTTGTTTGTTTGTTTGTTTGTTTGGTTTTTTTTGTTTTTTGTCTTAATTTAATGCAAAAATACTGCACAGAATTCGGGTCTGAGTGCCCAGCACGGTGGAGCTGGGGGCGAAGACTGCCTGGGGAATGGGTGGGGCTGGCAGTGGGATCTGCTGCTCTGGCCACTCTCCACCCTGACCAGGCTCCCTGGTGAGCATTGATGCTCCAGCTGTCCCATCTTCCCTCTTTGTGTTGGCTTTTTTGCAATCCTGGACCAAGTGCATTTTGTTTTTCCTGCCAAAAAGCAAGTTTATAACCAGTGTTGTCTTCTGAGATGCTATTAAATGTTACTGTACCTTTCACAGCGCTACTCTTGCATTTCTTTTAAATTCGGTTTTATTTTGGCTACAGGTTAAACATCACCCTACCTAAGGATTGTGAGTCATTTCCAGCTCAGTGGGTTGTACCTGCTGCTGCAGGCTGACACAAAGATATTAACACCTTAGATTGCTGCTGCTAATCAGAGGCTCACAGGACGTGTCTGAATGTCCTACGGCGCAGCAGTGACAGGTACCAGAGCATTCCTCTCCTCTGCGTGGTCACAGAGGCAGCAGGGGCAGGGACAGCAGTGAAAAACAAACCTTTGGCACCGAGATTGCCTAGACCAGGATACAGAGGGGCAGGGGAAACAGCTGCTCCTGGATCTGCTGCAGGTGGAAAAAGGAAGCTGAGGGAGAGCTGTGTGGGTTGAGTCACTGCTCACGGGAGCTGTGGAAGCAGCTGCTTTGCTTCCCGTGTTTGAGTCGTGCAGCTCTGGGCAGAGGGCTCTGGGAAGAGCTCTGGCCTTCCACAGCACCCGTGCCTTTGGAAGCTAAAGGAAGTGGAAAGTGCAGCTGGAATAAAGGGGTTTATTGGGAGCCTTTAATGAGGGAACCTGCCAGAAGGCCCTGCCTCGCATGAGTGGGAGTGTTGTCAGCTGGGAGTCAAGTGAGAGCTTGTCACAGCTGGAATGGGAAGAATGTGCTGGGGAAAGGGAAAAGTGCAGCCCCAGCCCACGGGCCAGGCAGGAAGATGCTTTGTTCAGGGCTGGGCAGAGAGGGATTATGCTGCTCTCCAGTGACACGGTGTCCTGTTGCAGATCCAGCCGGGGAGGAGGAGGAGGAGGGCGGGTACCTCCAGGCAGGCTGGAGCCGGGGCCCCGCTGCAGCTGGGGGCTGTCCAAGGGAAGGAGCTGTGCACGTACAGGAAAGCCAGCAGCAGGATCTCCCGGCTGAGCCGAGCCTGGCTCAGCCCCAGCACTGCAATGGCTCAAGGCCTTCAGGTTTAGCTCCGGCACAGACCGTGGAACTGAGCCTGTCTGTGCCCTGCTGCCAGCGCAGGTGAGATCTGTAGGGAGCAGCTGTGTGCAGAAAGCAAACTGCCCCTGGCTGTGTGTCCATCCTGCTGCTCCAGTCCCCGGGCACAGCAAACAACTGCCCAGTGCTGGGGTGAGGCTGGCAGGCTCCCCTGGGCAGGGGTCAGCCTGTGTAACCTGCACAGAGGTGAGGAGCCAGGCCTGGAGCCCAGGTGAGCTGGTGGAAGTGTCCCTGTGCTGGGGAACAGCAGGACTGGGCTGGCCCCTCTGCCAAAGGCTGCTCCCAGCTCTTCTCCATCCAGGCAGTGGCACAGTGAAACTGAATCTGGAAAGAAAACCTCTCCCTTTTTCCCAGCCAGGGCAGGTCGGGTAAGGTGAGAGGCAGCTCCCTCCCTGCAGAGCTGGGGGTGAGCAGCTTTAGGCTGGTTGCAGCCCCCTGCCCTGCTGCTGGGGGGGGTCTCTCCTGCGGAGCAGCAGGGAGGCCCTGGGGACCAGCCCACATTCCTGCAGGCTCCTGGAGCTGTCCGTGTACACCCTCTGGGGAAAGGTGCTGATGATCTCATAGTCCGAGTTTCCACCCCTAGGAAAGAACAGCACAATCTCCTGCTCGTGGGATTCCCCAAGGTTTTGACTGATCCAGCTGTGGTTATGCAAGAGCAGAAAAAAAGAGCTTCCAGCCCAAACTGCAGCCTGGCCAGAGGCACAGCTGCACTGGGGAGGAAGGAGGCTCGTGCATCCCACCTGCACTGAGCTCATCCCGGGCTCACACTAGGCCAGGCCTGCAGCAGGAGTGGCAAGAGGGGACAGCAAAGGGGGCCCTGAGCCATCTGGAGCTGTCCCCAGGAGGCTGAGGAGCCCTTGTGCAGCATTAGGTGTTTTGGGACACAGCTGGCTGAGCCAAGCCAAGGCTGCAGCTCAGCTTCCAGCACCTTGGGAAGGCTGGCAGCAGCTGGGTGAGTGCTGGGAGGAGGCAAAGGCAGCGATGGGCCTGGATCTGATGGCAATTTGGGGAGGACAGAAGAAGTTTGTCTCTGTTGCTGTGTGGCAAAGGTGGCTATGAAATGCCCTGAGCTTCTCAGGACAGGACACCGCTGCCTGGAGAGTGTCAGGTGGGCACAGGGCTGTGACCCAGCTCAGGCTGATGTTTGAAGCTCCAGGACGTCAAGAACCCTTTTCTGGGGTCCTGCAGAGTCAGGCAGGGAGGGGAGGGAGGGCTGGGTACCTGATGTGGGCCAGGTGCTGGCGCAGGTCCCCGATGGTGTCCGTGAGCAGCATCCTCAGCTCGTACGTCTGCTCCCCGCTCTCGGACCTGACGCGCAGGGTGCAGAGCTCAGGAGCTCCAGCCTGCTCAGCTGGCTTCACCCTGGGCCAGAGAGCCCTGTCAGCCCAGGAGGGAGCTCCACGCAGCAGGCAGAGCCTCCGTGACCAGAGCAGGGCAGAGTTGTGTTTGGGAATGTCCTCGAGGTGAGTGAGGCCGTGTCTGAGCACCCAGACCAACCCACAGCCCAAACTGCTGCTGTGCTCTCCCAGCCTGAAGGTGCCTTCAGGAGGGTTATGGGCCTTTTTTAGCTTTTTCATTTCAAACCAGGGCTGTCTGGTAAGTGCTTCGCCCTACTTTGATTAAAAATAATCTGCTTGGGGTTTTTTTTTTCATTAGTTATTTGGGTCTTGGCTTGCCAGAAGACTGAGTGGAAAAGTGCTGCTGGTGAGGCCTCCCACCACAGTTTCCTGGAGGGGTTCTCCATTTAACATGACTGCAAAGAGCTCCTTCAGTGGTGACAAACTCTTAGGCCTTGGCTTGCTGTCGGGAAAACTTTCACATAAATAAGTGACATTTTGAACAACAGAAGCTTTTTGTTAGAGATGTAAAATATGGCATGTTTGCCATGAAAAATTCAGTGGTTTTTCCAAAGGACCAAACTTGGCCTTTTGTCTGTTTCTAAGGTCTAAAAGGGGAAAGTCCATTCCTCAACTGAACTCCCTGAACTAAACCTGCAGTGATGGAACAGGAGGAAGAGGAGATCCTGACAGGGCAGGGGGAGGGGGGCTGTACCTGTACCTCTCCAGGGCAGCCAGCCCAGGTGTTTCCACCAGGATTTCCCTGCTGCTCTGCTGCCCATCAGAGCCCTGCAAGCAAAGCAGGTGAGTGTCAGATGAGTGGAGAGCAGCCAGTGCTGGCACAGCCACGAGGCAAGGGTTAGGGTCAGGGTCAGGGTCAGGGTGAGGGTGCAGCCCCTCTGGGAGGTTCCACGGAGCTGAGAGAGGCCCAGGGAGGGGGTGTGGGTGCTGTGCAGGGAGCTGAGCACAGAGCATCACCCCTGCTCTCCTCCTGGGGTGTCAGGGGAGCCCCCTCACACCTGGGCTGCTGCTCCAGCCGCGCCTCGGGCGCTGCCCGCGCTCCCTCTGTGCTTCAGGGGCTGGGAAAGCTCCTCGGCAGCCTGCTCCGAGGAGGCTTTGGGACCTAGCAGGGCAGAGGGGAGACAAGTCTGTGTGAGAGCTTTGTGACAAACGTTTTGCCTGCAGAAAAGGCAGGTTTGGTGAAAGGGGAGAGCAGCAGCCGGCAGGGAGAGCTCTCGCAGCCCAGCGAGACCCAGAGCAGCTCTCAGGTTCCTGCCTTGAAGTTGTCCCACTTTGTGCCCCAGGAAATGTTTGATTGTCAGCATCAACAGTGAGAGCTGTGCAGTGCAGAGCTGGGATGCACAGCAGGTAGCTCTGCTCTGAAGAACTGGAATATCACCGTTTTTACACACTGGGACATTTTTCACCTTGTGAGGGTGTATTTGTGGAGTCCATTCCTTTCTGCTTGGACAATTCTTTAGTTTGCTGCTTGGATATTTAGCTTAGCCTTGAGGTGACTGAGCACAGTGGTATGGAAGCAGGCAGCAGTTTCTCACGTGGTGAGAAACATGTGGTGGGTTATTTAGTGATGCACCCACAGACCCACTGATTTCTGTCTCTGTTTGACTTCCCAGCCCTGTCAGATACTGCTTACACAGACTGCAAGTATCTCGAAGCAAAATGAGGAATCTGTGGCCTTTGATGTCCCATATTCTGTTGTGAAAGCCTGAAGAGAAACTGTCCCAAATTCGGTGCAGTTACGGTAAATTTGCCTTGAGGGTATCTACGTTTTTGGAATGAGCTGGTTGAAAGGAGCAGTGTTTGCAAGCAGCTCTCCCCCCAGGCCTGCAGGGTTACCTCAGCATCCTTTGGTGTGGTGAAGGTGGAAGCAAGCTTGGCCTTTCAGAAAGGCACAGGGCAGATATGTTTTTGGAAACCTGCTGAATTTCTATTATTTTATTACTTGGCACATCTCATCCTTCAGCAGGATTAATGCTGAGAGGATGCTGTGTGTGCTGCTGCCTCCCAGCTCCTGAGGCAACACCAGCCCCTGACCCAGAAGGGTTGAGACCCTCACATTCCCCTCCTACCACCTGCACTGCCCTGGCAAGGTTTAAGAATCCTCCTCCTCAAGAAGGAGCAGCATTTTCGAGGCAGGTTCAAGATTTTACCTGGGATCTTGGAGGTTTCCTGCACTCTGCTGGATTCTGAAGTACCCACCACCTGGCCAAGGCCAGGAAAGCTCCCGGGAAGGTCTGGCTCCTGAAACACCACGTCCCTCCTGTCAGTGACCTGTAAGCAAATCTGACTGTTGCTCAAGCTCCTCTTGCTGCCCCCGAGCCCAACAAACCACAGCAGCTGGAAACCCCAACGAGCCCGAGGATGCACAGGTTCTGGGGAGCCTCAGCCCCCAGAGCTTTGCACAATCCCCTTTCCATGTGACTTCCTGACCCCACAGCTCGCTCCAGCTGGCCTGACCTTGTCCTGCTCGGGCACTTGTGCCCTGGTTTCTCCGTGGCACAGGGAATGTCCAGCCTCTGCTTGTGCCTGCTGACGTTGCAGGTGCACTCCAAGACCTAGATTTGAGTCCTCTGGGGCTCTCTGCCCGCAAATGTGGCTTTGGCTCTTTGCCATTTCTGAGAAATCAAAAACTGGGGCCCAAGAGAACCTCAGGTGGCCAAATCCATTTAAACTGTGGCAAAACAAACTCACGACATCCTCTGTAAAAGGTACTGTTCACTCTCACGTTACGAGCTTTTCAGGGGAACTACTTGAGAACTTTTTCCCCCTCCTTTTTGTGACATAGCTCTTAATTTCCCGCGTGTGCTGCTTCTCTTACAGAGCCTGCTGAGCTCTCAGAAGCCTTGTTCCAGGGCAGCTTCAGTGAGGCACAGGAACCCTTGAGCCCTGCTGCTGAAAGGCTTCCTGTAACGGCTGCTGCAGGTGCCCTCCGTGCCCCCCCGGCCCCAGACACACCTGCACAGCAGCACAAACCTCAGCCTCCCCTTCCCTGGGCACCACCCAGCAGAACCCAGCGTGCCCAAGAGCTGCCTGTGGCACTTGCCTGCAAGGGGACACCGTCGGGGTAGCGAGGCTGCAGCTCGGAGGGGAAATAACCATCCATGATGTCCTGCAGGCATTGCTGAAACAACAGCAGAGCTCCTGGTCACTTGCTCTTGAGCTCTGGACTGATTTTTTTTTTTTTTATTTTTTTTTTTTTCTGCTGGGCAGCTCCTGTTTGTGGTGCTGTGGCCGTGCAGAAAGGTCTGCATCAAAGGCACAGAATCTGCATCTCTAGAAATGACTGCACGGGACACGCAAGGCTTTAAAGGCACTGTGGGGATGGAGCTGGGCTCCTCTGCACGACTGAGATGAGCTCAGGAGCCCCATGCCCTTTGCTGGGGCTCAGTGAGGGCTCCAGGATGGCTCCAGGATGGCTCTGGCTCCTCTCAGCCCTTTCCATACCTGCGTGGCTGGGTGCTGGTAGGGCCGGAAGGCTCCGTGTCCCACGGTGATCCCATTTCGGTACAGGGTCACAGGGAGGGGCTCTGGCCACCTCAAACGAGCCCCCCGGGCCGTGTGCTCGATCTGAGAAACGCCCTCTGCCACCAGCGAGTTCAAATCCTTGATGTTCTCCAGGATTAAATCAAAATCAATCTGCTGTTTGCAAAGCACGGCCTCACCTGTGGCAGAGGGACCAGAGTTAGGGGCAGGACATTTATCTGTTTGAATCTGAGCTGTGTTTGAGCCCTGACACTGCTGGGCTGCCTGTGCTTTGCCTTTCACAGGTTTGCAGAACGTGCTGCAGCCTTTTGCTGGGGCACAGCCCTGCCAGGTCCCCGGGGTGTGTGCTGAACCACAAGGGCAGGGCAGGGATGCAGAGCTGGGGCTGCAGCTCAGAGCCCCAGAGCAGCTCCTGAGCAGCTCCTGGAGCCCACACCGGGCTCCCAGGCTCGCTGATGCTCTCGGGAGGGCTGTGCTGTCCCTGTGCCGTGCAGGATGAGGAGCTGCAGCAGCTGCTGGATTAGATTGGGTCAGTGGATCACCACTGAGGAGGTGCCAGTGTCAACAGAGGCAGCTGCCTGCAGCAGGGCAGGGACTCTGCCAGGATGTTTGTCTGGGGCTCTGGGGGTGAAGCAGGGCAAGGGTTGTGATGAGACAGAGGAAAGAAGTCAGAAGAGGAAATGAGAGGGAAGGTCTTAGTTGAGTTGAAGTCCTTGGTTGTTCTGCTTTTTTTATGAGTTGCTAAAGGATGATGTGAAAATGGTCAGTGAGCTGAAACCAAAACTGTTTCTGCTGATCTCCCTCTGTCTCCCCCCTCCTGCATCTAAGGGAAGCTCTAGTCTAACATTTCCATGGTGGTTAGGAAGCAGCACTGGCTTTACAGTCCCAACAATTTTCTTTTTTTCCTCTGTTACCACTCCCTAAGGAGGCAGTGCCAAAGCTGCTTGGGCCCCAGGCAGCAGAGCCAGGTCCCAGTTAAACCCTCACATGGTGGCTGGGAGGAAAGCAAACAATAGTCCCTGCTGGAGCCAGCTCTGTGGGTAGGTTACTACAGCTCCTGTGTACACAAAGCACCTGATTCCGTTTTCCACCCGCCCTGTGTCAATGTCATTAGAGCAGTCAAGCCTCAAAGGTGCAGGGTCTGTGAATTCTGCAGGAAACAGCTGCTCTGAGCTCTCCTCCTGAGGGCTGAGCCATCAGGCTCTCTCCTCTTCCCCAGAAGGGTGTACAGACCACAGGAACATAAAATTAAACCTTCTGCTGAGCTCCTGTTCGATTGCTCCGTGTCTGCGTCCCTGAGAGGGACTGGTGTGAAGATCTTGGCCTGGAATCCCAAATTCTCGAGACCCAAATCCTGATGTTTTGGTGCTGATCTACTCTGCCTGGTCTGGGCTAGCAGCTGCAGCCGTGCTGTGCTTTACCCGGCCTGCAGAGGCTCCCTGCTGGCAGCTCCTCTCCATCCCGGGTGGATTCCGTGTCCTCCAGCAGCTCCCGTGCCTCTCCAACCCAAAGCAGACCGTAGTCACTCAGGAACCGCTGCAGGAGCAGAGCCAGAGCCTCAAAACTGGGAAAAGGAGCCCGGGAGGGGTCAGCTGTGCCTGGGGGAGGTGGAGCAGGTTTGTCTTGGGGCTGCTTGGCCCTGGCAGGGCAGTGACAGCAAGGAAAGGGAGGGGGAAAGTCAGAGGAACCTCCCAAGGCTGCAGGAGCTGCAGCCCTGGAAATCGGGATGAAGCTGGCAGGAGGCACAGGGGTTTGGGTGTGTAAAACCTTCTCCTGCTCACATCCAGCCTGCTCCTTCTCAGAGCTGAAGGGCTGTGAGGACCAAAGGGGCAGCTTGGAAAAGGCCAGGCTGGGACTGCAGTGACCCCAAAGCAAAGGGGAGGCTCGGGGCAAGCAGAGCAGCCTCACCTCCATCTCCCACACCTGCCTCTGCAGCTGAAGGCACCTCACCTCCAGCTCTCCTGAGGTGCACGGCTCAGAAACATCTGCAAGAGAAAAGCTGCTGCTCCTGTCCCCCGGGAAGAGCTGTGGCTCTCCTGTGTCACACGGGGCAGAGAGCTGTGCCCAGCGACCTCCCAGCCCCGGGACACCGGGCTGGACGTGCCAATTCCCCCTGCTCGGTCTGACAGTGGTGCTGACAGGCTAAAAAGCAGCTGTGAACAGCCCCGGGGCAGTTCTGTGCCGTGGCAGCTGATGTGAGGGCTGCTGTTGGCCACCACGGAGTGGCAATGGCTTGGAGGAGCCAGAAGGAGCAGGTGTCCCCTGCAGCTGGATCCCGGCGGGGTGGCAGCGGCTGCAGCAGGAGCTGCAGAGCTCGTGGCCGTGGTTGGACAGCCACTCTTGTGCTCAGAGCTCAGGAGAGGCAGAGCTCAGCACGGCCCTGACACAGGGAGCTGAGGGAACGTGGCTGGGCTCCAGCTGGGGCTGGAAAGCTGCTGCATCCAGGGCAGAACACCTCCAGTGACTCACTGAGGGCTCAGTTCGGTCAGGCTGGAATCCTGTGCAGGCTCCCAGTGGGTTTTGGGTTTCTCCCAGCTGCTTTCCTGCTGTTTGAGCAGTGTTTGCTGCTCTTCTGACCGCCCTCGGCTGCCTGGGGCTGGCCCCACAGCCATGGAAACGCAGAAACCCACAGGAACAGGTCAGGAAATGATGTTTGCACCAGAGGAGCAGCCACAAAGTGCAGCTCTGCCCTGGGGAAAGGTCCCTGTGTGTGGCTGCCACCTCTCACCAAGGAGGCTCCTGGATTTTAGAGCCCAGGACAGCATCCAGGATTCCAGGATTCCAGGATCCAGCTGTCCCAGGCCTCTCTGCTGCCCTGCCAGAGCTCTGCAGCTCTCCCACAGGTGCCAAAGGTAGAACAACTTTTACCTTCTCCTTCCTGAAGAGTCTTTATCTTCTCCTGCAGCTCAGCAATCCTCCTGTCCTTCAGGGGCAGAGCAATGGCCTGGGTCAGCTCCTGGCTCCAGGCACAGCTGGCACATCAGCAGGGCTGGATCAGCCCAAAAACACCTTCAGGAGACTCAGGTGAGGGCTGGGACAAATACAGAGCTCCAGGAGAAGCTCCCAGTCCTCCCTCTGCACTGGGGGCTCCTGCTCAGACCTGCGGGGAGGGGCTGATCCAGAAACTAAACCAGCATCTCTGCAGCCACTTCTTAAAAATACCAAACCAAACAAAAAAATGGGATTTATTCCAAGATTTTAAAGGGTATTTGTTCTAAGATTTTAAAGGGTATTTATTCTAAGATTTTAAAGGGTATTTCTTCTAGGATTTTAAAGGGTATTTATTCTAGTCAGTGATGCAGAAAGGGCTGATCCAGGAAGACTCTGCTGTGTGAGCAGCTGCTGTTTCAAAAAACAAAAGGAGGGCTGCACCACCACAGGAGGGAAAAAATAAATTCTGAAGCCAAAGAGCTGCTGAGGGTGCTGAGAGTCAGTGCTGCAAGGAATCCCAGCAGGGACTGTCCCCTCTGCCAGCCCAAGGCCTGATCCACGGCTCTGCTGCTCTGTAAAGGGCTCATTTGGGTAATTAACAGCAGGCCACAGATGAACTGAGCCCACACAAGCTCCGAGAGGTGGAACTCCTGCGGCAGGGGACAGAGCAGGCTCAGCAAGAGGCTGACTTTTACCTTCAGCTGGATTTCTTGTGCTTGTTTCTCTATCTTTTCTTCCAACAGAGAGATTTTTTCTGCCAGGGAGGACGTGAGCTCCACGTCAGCGTGAGCTGCACCTGAAAGCACAAATACCTGTGAGCAGGGCTGCTGGTCTCCCACAGCAGGGAGGACTTTTCGGGTGGAAACCCCTTGGCTCCTGGCTGTGTGTGCGAGAGGGGAGCCACAGGAACGGCTCTGGACGGGGGCGTCACCAAAAGCTGCTGGCCCAGAACCCCCAGACCCCTCAGGGCTTTACCCCCCGCGTTCTCTCCCGGTGCTGTCCCCCGGAGCAGGAGCGGAGGGTGCCTTGCAGGGGCTCCCAGGCCCGGGACACGGCCAGGCCTGGCCTGGAAACTCACCCCCCGCCGCCATCTTGTTTACGGCCGGTTGCCACGGCGACGCGGGAGCCGCTGCGATTGGCCCGGCGCTGGTCACGTGGCGGGCGCTGTATTCCACAGAACTACAATTCCCAGCCTGCACCGCGCGCGCTCTCCCGGGACACCGGGACCGGTCCCGTTTTTCTCCTCAGCCCCGCTCCGCACACACCCAGCAGCCTGCCCCGAGGCTCCTCTCGCCGCGCAGCTCCTCCCGCTTCCCTCACCTGCTCCCCGCTCTCTGTTTCCTCGCCTGGTGCCCTGCGCTGTCCCCCGCGCCCGGCGCCAGCCCCGGAGCCTCTCCCGGCTGCCCCCCGCCCCACCGCTGCCCCTGCGCTGCTCTGCAGGTGGAGGTGAGCGGGACAGGCCGATTATCCCCCCAGTTTTGCCTCCTTTGATGGGGGTGCGCAGAAGCACAGAGGGGTTTGGGCTCCAGGGACCCCAGAGCTGACCCCATCCCACCCCGGCTTGGCACGGACGCCTCCCGCTGCCCCGGGCTGCTCCCAGCCCTGCCCAGCCCGGCCTTGGGCACTGCCGGGGATGTCGGCTGTGCTCAGAGGCTTTAATTTCTGCTCGCCCCAAGAGCAAAGCCGAGCTAAATTGGGTGATTTTTTTTCTGCAGAAGAGGAAGCCGGCGGGGAGCTCACGGCGATGCGCTCCAGCAGCACGCAGCCAGACAGCAGCTGTGTACTCTCAGCTCCTCCCAGTCCCTTTATTCACTGCAAACCCTGTTAAAATAAAATATTTTATATGTTTTTTATATTAAAATAACCAGGTCGCTCTTGTTTCCTGCGCTGCAGGGTGGGGGAGCTCAGAGAGCTGCAGAGCGGAGCTGGGGGGTCCGAGGAAGCGTTTCCCCCTTTGCTCAGGATCTGAAATCCCAAGGGATGCCTTGGCTCCAGCTCCACCTGGAGGGAAGGAGGTTTGCTCCCGCCAGCCTGGGCTGCGATTTGCCAACGCTCCCGGTGCTCCAGGGAGGGTTTCAGTCACTCCTCGGTGGGTGCGAGCACAGAGAGGCCCCAGGGAGAAGCAGAGCCTGAAGAGTTTCAGCCTTTCCTTGAACTTCTTCCTTGGGGATGTGCTGTTCTTTTACATACTTCCAAAAACCCCGCTGTAGTCCTTTTTGCCTGTTTCTCCACTGCTTCCAGCCTTGTTTGCATCCTGTGCTCATCCCTTTACATCCTTTTATCTTATTTGCCACTTAGTCTTTAAGCTCTATTCGGTGACTCCAGGAGAACTGAAAATATCTATATATAGATATTTATATACCTATATATATAATATATCAACATATATCTAATATATGTATCAACATCTATCTAATATATTAACATTTAATATATCAACATCTATATAATATATATATAAACATCTATCTAATATATATATATCAACCTCTATCTAATATATCAACCCATATCTAATATATATCAACCTATATGTAATATATAAGCATCTATCTAATATATATCAACATCTATCTAATATATATCAACCTATATCTGCTATATATCAACCTGTATCTAATATATATCAACCTCTATCTAATATATCAACCCATATCTAATATATATCAACCTATATGTAATATATAAGCATCTATCTAATATATATAAACATCTATCTAAAATATATCAACATATATCTAATATATATCAACCTGTATCTAATATATCAACCTATATCTAATATATATCAACATATATCCAGTATATCCACATATATCTAATATATATCAACCTATATCTAATATATCAACCTATATCTAATATATATCAACATATATCCAGTATATCCACATATATCTAACATATATCAACCTATATCTAAAATCTATATATAGATATTTATATACCTATATATATAATATATCAACATATATCTAATATATATCAACCTGTATCTAATATATCAACCTATATATAATATATATAAACATCTATCTAAAATATATCAACATCTATCTAAAATATATCAACCTATATCTAATATATATCAACCTATATCTAATATATATCAACATATATCCAGTATATCCACATATATCTAACATATATCAACCTATATCTAAAATCTGAAATTTGCTCCATTCTGTCCCTTGTCCCTGCCATCCCAGGGAGCAGGGGGGATGCAGAGGAGCATCTCCCGAGCCCACGCCACGTCTGGCACCCTTTTCCCCCGGGCGCAGGCAGCGGCTGCGCCTTCCCCGAGCTGCGGTTTTTTGGGGAAGGGAGGCGCGATTGGTGCGCGGCGCCCCGGCCGCCCTTAAAAAGGCTGGGAGCGGAGGGGAAGCGGCAGAGCCCGGCCATGCCGCCCCCGCAGCGCGCCCGCCTGCTCGCCCTGCTCGCCCTGCTCGCCCTGTGCCTGGTAAGGAGGGAGCCTGGCTCCCGGCTCTGCCCAGCCCGGACACCTCTGCTTGGGGTTTTCTCCTGGGCTTTGAGCGCTGCGGTCTCGCCAAGGGGTTTGTGCCCTGCTCTGGGAGGTGCAAACTCTTCCACGGGGTGTTTTTAATGCTTTTCTTTAGCTTTAGGGTAGCACTCACCTCTGTGACCCTGGCAGGGCTCTCCACCCTCTGTGACCCTGGCAGAGCTCTCCAGCCCATCTTACATCCTCTGTGACCCTGGCAGGGCTCTCCAGCCCATCTTCCACCCTCTCTAACCCTGGCAGGGCTCTCCAGCCCCTCTTCCACCCTCTCTAACCCTGGCAGGGTTCTCCAGCCCGTCTTCCAGCCTCTCTTGCAGTGGGGATGCTGAGCTGGAGGGGCACACACGGCTGTGGTTTCCTCTCACCTCTGGCTGTTATTTCCCTTCCTGCTGGGCGGCTCCATGGCCCGACAGCCGTGCTGAGGGACGTTGGGGCTCTCCTGGGTGTGAGGGAGGAACCCACCAGCAATTTTGGGGAGCACCATGCACTTTGGGGCAGCTTTTGGGATGGTTTTTTTTTTTTCCCCTACAAGATGTTAGTAACGGGGCCAGATCTGTCTGTGCTTATTTCACTCATGAAGTTGCCCTCAGCTGGGACCTGCTGCTGCCTCCACAAGCTGCATTTACATTTTGGGATTCCCCCTCTGTAAAGCAGGCAAAGAGAACAAGAGTGTGGCAAAGAGAGCAGAGTTTTGGGCTCTGTTCCTGTCCTTCCCCATCTCCGGAGGGACCCTGAGGAGGGATGCAGGGCAGCGTGCTTCACAGAGGGAAACGGCATCGCTTTTCCAGCAGTGTTAGAGAGGGAAAGAGCCAGCCCTGAGCTGGCCAGCCCGGCCGTGCTGCATTCACACACCGCCTGCACAGCCCGGGCTCGGGGCCCCCTCCTCCCCTGCCCCTCGCTTTCCCAGCACGGGCGTTCCCCACACCCCACCTCTTCTTCTTCTGCAGGGCCGTGGCCCGACACCTTCTCACCACTTCCTCGCCGAGCAGAGACCACTCCCCGGCTTCCACTTCCCCCCTGATTTCTGAAAGGCCCTGCTTTGCAGCAGGGCAGCGATTCCAGGGAGAGCTCACTTTTCTCCCCGCCTTGGGACAGCCCCAGAGTTGGAGTGTGAAGGGAAACAGACAGCAGGCTGTGTGTCCTGCCTGGGCACTGTGGGCACTCCTTTTGCCCCCAGGACCATCCTGGGAGCGGTCTCGGTGCTTTCACCGCCGTGCTGCGGTTGGCAGGGATATCTAAAGCTCTTTTCTTCCCCAGACCCTCAGCCTGGCGAAGGAGGAGGCCACGAAGGAGGAGGCGTCTCCCCCGAAAGATGCTGCCCCGAGAAACGCCACCGCCAGCAGCAGCGTGAGCCCGCCCGGCGCCAGCGCCCCGCTCCTGTCCGCGGCGCTGGGGGTGCTGGCAGCGCTGCTCCTGCAGCTGCGCTGAGCCGGGGGTCCCCGCAGCCCCCGGGGGTCCCCGCAGCCCCCCGAGGGTCCCCGCAGTCCCCCGAGCCCCGCAGCCCCTCCCCAGGACGGCACCGCCCCCGTTCCTGCGCTCCCCGCGTGTCCCCGCGTCCTGCGGAGCGGAGCAATAAACGCGCCGGTGCCGGCACGCAGGGCTCGTCTCCGCTTCTCCCGGCTCGGTACCGGGGCTGTGGGAGGGGCGCAGCACCGGCCCCGTCCCGGGGATGCAGGGGTCGGGGGGGCCGGGCCCGAGCCGGGGGGAGCAAGGCCGGGACCCCCGAGCGAGCATCCCCCGAACGAGCGGTCCCCGGGCGGTTCCCGAGCGCTCCCCGCCTGTCCTCCCGGGCGGTCCCCGCCTGTCCCCCTGCCTGTCCTCCCGGGCGGTCCCCGGGCTGTCCCCGGGCGGTCCCCGGGCGGTCCCCGCCTGTCCCTGGGTGGTCCCCGAGGGGTCCCCCTGGCCGGTCCCCGAAAGGTCCCCGAACGGTCCCCGAACGGTCCCCGAACGGGCCCCGGCGGCTCCGCGGGTTCGGGCGGGAGCCCCGCGCGCCCCCTCAGGCGGCCCGCGCGCAATCCCGGCCAATCCCGCGTCAGGGGCTGCTGCTCCCCGCCAATCCGACGCCGCCAGCTCTCGCCCTCAGCCAATCACAGCCCGGCAGGGTTAATATAGGCCGTGAGCGCACACGCAGCGCTTCCTGTGAGGCGCGGACGCGGCCCCGAGCGGAGCTGGGTGTGCGTGGGGGGCTCTGCAATGTTGAGAGGCTTCCACGTTCTTCAGCGTCCCTTCCTGCCGGGCTGATCTTAGCATTTAAGTCCATCGTGTGGCTGCCTGTCCCTTGCCCGGACGGGTACTGGGGCAATGGGACACGCAAAAGACGGGCGTTTGTTGGTGCTGTTGCCGAAAGCCCGGCAGGCCCAGCCGGCCGGAGCCGCCTGATGTCCCCCGGCGCCCCCCGCGCTGTCACCGCCGCTCCCTGCGAGGGCGATGAGCGGTCGCTGCCCCCACGCAGTGACCAGAGCAGGCTCTTGCTGGCAGCCGTGTCCTCTCCCCAGCAGCGAGGACAGAGCAATTTTCTCCATTTCCCACCCCGTGCTCCCCCGGCTCCGAGTCACATCCCCGGGGAGCTCCTGCTCTCCACCCAGGTGGGCAAAACCTCTGTCCTGGGCCCTTGGAAGATGGGTGAGCTGAGCCACCAGGGACAGGGAGCGCTGCTGGCTCTGAGCTCAGCTGGGGTGCCACCACAGGGGGAACCCCAAGGCCACAGGCTGGGGTCCCCCAGAGCTGGAGCTGGAGGGGTCCCGCAGCCCCCGGTGCTCCCAGGGCACGGCTTGCCCGGTGCCTCCCTGCTCAAGGTCCATGGCCACGGAGCTGCCTGTGCCCGTGGGCACTAGAGGGCACTGGGATCCCATCCTGGCACCAGCACCAGGCCTGGGGCTGGAGCAGGGGTACTGCCAGGCTCTGGGCACGACAAGGACAAGGACAAGGACACCGACCACCCAGGCAGGGCTGGCCCGGACAGGCAGGGCTGTATCTTACACACGTACATAAATACAGTTCAGGGGGAAGAAGGAATTGAGGGGAGGGGCCCTGCTGCTCTCCAGAGGGTCCCACGCTGGCTGTGTCCATGGGATCCTTCATGGACATGTTCAGGCCTCCTCGGGAGGGAGGTGGGATGGTCCCCCCGTGCTGGAGAGGCTGGTGGTCCCCCTTCACACCAGCAGCTGGGGCAGAGATGTGCTTGGGATGCAGCGTGCGTGGGGTCTGAGGCCTCCTGCCCCAGGGTGGGGACGCTGGCAGGATGTCCCCATTGTGCCCCATGGCACCTCTGTCCCTCACAGCACCTGGATGTCCCAGATCTGCGTGGGTCGTTCATCAGCCATGTCCCAAACGATGGCGTGGTCCCGGTCGTAGCTTCGGCCGCCTGCAGAGCGAGGGCGAGGTTTGGGGAGGGCAAACCCCACTCCTGATGCAAACACCCCGTTTTTGGGCATCCCTGGGAAAGCAGCCTCTGTGCAGGGCTGGGGGCTCACCCTTCACATCGAGGATCATGTCCTCGAACATCTGGCTGTGGATCCGTCCTTGGGAGTCGACGCTCCAGGTCTGACGTGGCAGCCGTGTCTCGGACCACAGCACGGCCTTGGCGCCCTTCCCGGCCGGCCCGATGACCTGCAGGCTCATGGTGGGGGCCACCTGCAAGGGACACGGAGCAGGGGTTGCCCTCTAGTGCAGCTGGCTCTGCGCTGGAAGGGGGATGAGCAGGAAGAACCCCTCAGCGAGAGGGGGGTGATGAGAGTGACAGAAACTCCTCAGGGAAGGCAGAGATGGCTTCACATCTCCGGGGAAGACTCAGGGAGGAGAATCACCGGATCTTTGGGGACAAGGCTGGGATCAGAGGCTGGGAGAAGCTTTTATAAACGCTGAAGATGGCTGTGGGGTGGGGAGTGCCCAGCAGGAGTCCTGCCAGGGGCTGCCCTGGTTCCCTCAGTGGCGCTGGCTGTCCCAGCTGAGCCCTGACCTGGTTTTTGATCAGCCCGTCCTCGTAGTACCAGACGGAGCTGCTCTGCTCGCTCAGGCTGGAGACCACCACCCGCCCTGCCTTCATCTCCTCCACGTCGTCGGGGACCGAGAGGAAGAGCTCCAGCTCCCTGCTCCTGATGCGGAAATAGACCCGTCTCTGCAAGAGAGGAGCCTGCTTTGCACCCAAAACCCGGCTGCCTGCAGCTCCTCACCTGGCTGGGGCTCTGGAAGGGAGATCCTGCGCCCCTGGGGGGCTCTCCCCGTTGTCCTGCCCCCAGGTGTCCCCAGGGCAGTGGCTGTGGCCGTGACCTGTCCCTCGTAGCTGGCACGGGCACGGCTCACCGCGCTGGGATGCCGTGGGTTTTACGAGGCACTTGCCCACGGGGAGTGTTTCACCACAAAGGCAGCCACTCCCAGGGTGGGGGACAGGAATTTGAGGTGACAGTGCCAAGCTGGTGGCACCTTTCCCGTGTCAGAGCTGTCGGGCTGCTGCTCCCCAGCTCCCCCAGCCCGGGGCTGGCAGCTCTGTCTCCGTGTGAGCCTCGTGCCCCGGGGTTTTGGGTTCACCCTGACGGGTGACACAGCCCTGTCCCCTCCCAGAGGTGACCCTCACCTGGCGGATGGGGTAGAGGGACCCCACGTGCTGCAGCCCGCTGTAGGTCAGCCAGTTGGTGATCTCAGTGCAGTCCAGCAGCCACTGCCGCCCTCGGAAGTCACCGTGCTCACACAGCACCCAGCTGTGGGGACAGGGTGGCATGGGACACGTCACCCTTGGCGGGCAGGGGACACCCAGGGGTGCCAGGGGAGCAGGGCTCACTTACATCCCTCCTTTGACCCGCACGGACAGCACGTGGTTGTTGAAACCCTCAGCCTGGAGACTCCGCACTTCGGAGTTCAGCTCGATCTCCTTCCCCTCGAAACACTCCAGCCCGTGCAGGAAGATGGAGGGCTCCGAGAAAAACTGTGGGATTGGGGACAACGGGGGGAGTGAGAGTTCCTGGGGTGCAGAGCCAGAGCTGGGGGTGCCCGTGAGAGGGGAAAAACCTTCTGGAAGGTTCTGCTAGGGAAGGGAAGGGAAGGGAAGGGACTCACCAGTGGAACTTTCTTCAAGGAGCGGATGGCGGTGGAGCAGAGGCAGCCCATGGCACTGAGCGTGGGGTACTCGCCCTCAGACAGCACGTGCTGCTCCCCCGCAAAGTCCTGCCCGTCGAACAGGATCCAGCTGGTGGGGAGGAGCATTCCCGGGCTGACAGAGCCATCACGGAGGGCACCCATCCCTCCCACAGCACCCCGACACCCCACCTGCCCCCGCGGACTCTGCAGGAGCGCGGGGTGAAGGCTTCGGGCAGGGCCTCCTGGTCCTCCTCAAAGGCAACGTGATCCCCCAGGAAGTCGGGCTCTGAGAAAAGCAGGACCTGGGGAGGGGAGCAGGGGGCTCAGTGAGGGGGCAAAGCATCACCACCACCCCACAAGGGGCTGCATCCCCCTCCCCATCCGCCAGCCCTGACCTTGGAGACGAAGTGCAGGTTGTGCTCCCTGACCTGGAAGCAAGCAGAGCGGGGCTGGTGGGAGTCTGGCCATGACACCCACCGGCCCGGGGGGTCCCGTGAGGAGGGGCTGTCCCCTCACCTGCAGGATGGGCTGTGCCGAGGAGATGTGACAGTCGGTGGCGCCCCAGTCCTCGCAGTTGCGGTACACGCCCTTCTCCAGGATGTACTGCTCGCCGGAGTAGTTGGGGCCCTCGTAGGCCACCCACCTGCAGGGGGGAGGTGAGTGCTGGCCCATTCCCCCCCCCAGCGCCCCCCAGGCCCCCCGGTCCCACGCTCACACGCCGCTCAGCACGTGGATGGACTGCGTGACGCTGCCGTAGCCGGCCAGCCGCGTGTCGGGGAGCGCCTCGCTCAGCTCCACGCTCGCGCCCTCCTCGAAGTCCATGGCCTCAAACAGCACCAGTGCTGGGTCAGAGAAGTCCTGTGGGGAGAAGGAGCCCCCCCCGAGCCCCGTGGTCTGTCAGGGGAAGGGGCTGTGGGCTGGGCACACGCACAGCCGAGCTCCTGCCTGGCCTCGGGCGCCCCGGGAGCGTGGGAGCAGCTGCCAAACCTTCGTTTGGATGAGTTTGGGGGATGTCAGGCCATGCCCAGCTGCCTGATGCAGGCAGGGACGGCTCCCTTTGGGGGTGAGGATGGGATGAGGGTGCCTGGCTCTCTCTGCCCACACCAAATCCATTCCCAAGCCATTCCCATGCCTGCCCTCACCGTCCGGATCAGCCGCAGCGACACCAGCTCCTTGCTGTAGCCGCCCCACTGCCTCCAGTCCTGGTACTCCCCTTCCTCCAGTAGGTACTGGTGGCCACGGAAACCTTCCTTCTCGTAGCCAACCCAGCTGTGGCACAGGCAGACACGGGCCGTGAGGACTCCAGAGGATTTCCACGTAGCCCCCAGAGCCCATATTCCCATCAGCTTGGCCATTGTTCCCAAGCGAGGGCTTAAAGCACTCCTAGTTGAGACAAAGCCCATCCAGAGGATTTCCACGTGCTGGGGCATGGGGACACCATCCACAGCCTCTCTCCCAGGAGCCCCACAGCCCTTCCCAGGGGTGGCCATCACCTTCCCAGGCAGGATGCCAGCCCTGCCCTCCCCGTGCCACTCACCAGCCGCCCAGCACACGCAGGGAGCCCACGGTGGGCAGCGCTGCCTCGGGCAGGCGCTTCAGGTCGTAGATGTCTCTGCTGATGGTGAAGCTGCGGCCCTGGAAAGCTGCAGCCTCATAGATCAGCACCTGGGGACAGGGGAAAGGGGAGGAAGGTGAGAAAGAGCACAAGATAGGGTGAGGATGGTCCCAGGGCCATCCCAGCCCAGGGTTCCTGGGAGCTGCCCTAGAACTCACCTGTGGCTCACCAGGTCTCTCCACGACGGGGCAGCCCTGGAAGGAGAAGGAGCCCCAGTGAGGCTGTGGTGGCAGGAGGAGACATTGCAGGGACATCTGCTGCCACCCTTTAAAGCCTGAGCTGGTTTTTGGGTCATTTTCATTCCAGAAACTCTTTTGAAGCTTTCCCTCACCCCTAACCCACAGGAGCACTTTCCAAAGCCATGCTTGGCCTGTTTCCACACAAGCAGAACTCACTCACACCTGGACACAGCCCTGGCACCCCTGGAAGCACCCCAGGAGCCAGCACTCACCAGCCTGATGGGATGCATGGAGCAGATGGATGGGTCCTTTGCTCCCCAAGCCTTTAAGTTGGGGTACCCGCCCGGCTCCAGAACGTAGGGATCGTCATCAAAGAAAGGCTTGGAGTAAAGCAGCCACCTGGGGAATGGGGAAAGGCGTCACACCCCGCTCCCGTCTGTGCCAGAGCCCACCCCGCAGCCCCCAGCCCCAGGGTCCCTCACTCACAGGCCCGAGTGGACGATGATGGAGGCGGCGGCCAGCGCCTGTCCCCGCTCGCGGGTGTCCTCGGCCGAGCCGCTGAACCGGAGCCGGGCGCCCTCGCCGTTCTCCTCGGCGAAGAGGCTGATCTCGGGGGTGCGGTAATCCTGCGGGGACAGCGGCGTTGCGGCTCCCGCGGCTCTGCCCGGAGGGCGCTGGGGGCTCCGGGGGTCCCCGCACTCACCCGCACCACCCTCTTGAAGGAGCCGATGCGGAACGGGCGGCTCCCGCGGGGCTGCCCGCTGTCCCCGCTGTCCCCGCTGTCCCCGTACGCCGTCCAGGGGTTGTCGATCTCCACGTCCCCCTCGGCCAGGACGCATTTGCGCCCGCGGAACCGCGGCTTCTCGTACATCACCCACCTGCGAGCGGCGTGGGGGCCGCACCGGGGGAGAGCCGGCGTTACCGCAGCCCCGCCGGTGCCCCCGGGGCAGAGTGTGGGTGGGGACGGGCTGCCACCGCCGCGGTAATTAGCACTGGCAGGACGGGCCCTCCCGATCCCCGGGCTGTGACATCCCCGGCACGAGTCCCGGCCGAGCCCTGCCGCGGTGTCCGAGCCCCGCCGCTGTCCCTACCCGCCTCGGATGACTCGGATGGAGATGGTGTGTGACAGCTCCCAGGACGTGGCGTCGGGAATGTCGTCCCAGATCTCCCGTTTGTGCCCCGCGAAGCCGGCATCGGAGTAGAGGATGATCTGGGAAGGGGGACACGGCTGGGGAGTGCTGCCACACCGCGCCGTGCCGGCCCAGCCCGGCCCCACCGCCCTCCCTGTACCTTGCCAGGTCTTGTGTTGATCTTCTCCAAGCCCTCCTTATCCTCCTGCTGTGAAGAGCCCAGGGGACGGGCGGGTGAGGAGCGCGGGGGGACCTCGGCGGCAGCAGCCATCTCCCTGCAGCCCAAGGGAGCCGCAGCCGCAGCCTCGCGTCTGCCAGGCCCTCCCACCGCCCCGAGCAGCCACACCTCGAGCGTTCCTGCCCTGCCGGGGATCAGCCTCCCGTCTGCCCCCGACCCTCCCGTCACCTGCCCGGGACCTTCCCAGCAGCCGTGGTGGCATCCTCCCATCCCTTGACCTCGTATCCACCCATCCCAGTATGCTCCCATCACCCATCCCAGTGCCCTCCCATCACCCATCCCAGTATGCTCCCATCACCCATCCCAGTGCCTGCACTTTCACCCCATGACCTCTCTGACGGGAAGCACCAGCCGTATTTTGGGAGCAGGGAATGATGCTCCAGGGTCCAGCCCCCACTCCCTTCCCACACCCCCGGGGGAGGAGAGCTTTCCCCAGTGCTGGAATCACTGGGATTCACTCACCAGCACATGGTCGAGGCTCAGGGTCACGCTGCTCTCCGGCTCCTCGGTGACAGCAGGGACAGAGCCAGAACTCAGGGCTTCCAGCACGGCCATCTCGGGGCCAGAGCGGCCACCAGGGCCCAGCCCATTGTGCTCCCTGAGGCAGGGTAAATCCGAGCCCCCGTTGCCGTCGGGCAGCTCGAGCAGGGCGGCTCCGGGGGACACGAAGCGGCTGTAGAGCACGCTCTTGTCCAGCCGGGAGTAGGGCTTGCCCTCATCAGCTGCGGCTGCCCGCTGCTCCAGGAAGTGGGAGAGCAGCGCCATGCCCTTGAGGACGTTCCCTCGGAAGGGCACGCTCCTCTCGGCCGGGCCCCCGGCCACCAGTTTGGCGTTTTCATCCGCTCCCAGTGTCCCCAGGAGAGAGCCCCCCTCCACCCACCCTTCGCCCGCCACGCCGTCATCATCCCTGGGCACCGCACGGCGGCTCCCCGCGGCCGCCCGCTCCTCAGGGCTCAGGTAGGGGTTCTCGATCTCCTCCTCTTCCTCGGGGGTCTCCTGGGGCCGCCCCGCCGGGCCCCGCGCCAGCAGCTCCCGCAGGGCCTGGGGCAGGGACAGGGGGGCGCGGGGGGCCACGCGGTCCTCGTGGATGGGGGGCAGGGCTGCGCAGCGGCTCAGCGCCGACGGCCGGGGCTGCCGCGGGGCTTTGGGCGCCTTCCGCATCTCCGAGGGCTCCATGTTGCGCAGCGTGTCCACAAAGATCTCCATGTCCACCAGCAGCTCGGGGTCCTCCTCGCTCGCGTCCGGGGGGCTCTCAGCGCGGGGCTCGGGGGCTGGGGGCTCGCTGGGGGGCTCTCGGATGCTCTCAGGCTCTTGGGCTGCGCCCTGGGCGTTTCCCATGGTCTCATCCCCCTCCAGCTCAATCTCAGCCTTTGCTGATGCTGCTGTTTCGGATGCAGACTCTGGACCATCGCTCACCTCAGGGTGGGGGTTCTCGGGGGTGCTGCCAGCTCGCGGGGGGCTCTCTGTCCTCGCTGGCGTGGCTGGAATGGTGCCATCCACTTCTGCCACGCTTCCCTCACCTGTGCCAGCCGGAGCAGCCTGGCCAGCAGCGCCTGCCGAGGGACACTGCGGGGGGCTGCTCACACTGGTTTGAGGGTCCCCAGGCCTGTCCCCGGCCCCCGGAGCTGCCTTCCCCGCCGTGGGCTCGGCTTGTGCTGAGTCCTTCTCCTCGGGGGATCCCTCGGCCAGGAGCCCGGCGGCCTCTGTGCTGCCCGGCGAGCTCTCCGTGCCCGCCGCGGCCGCGGCAGAGCCGCTGCCCCCCTGCCCGGGGCTGTCCCGGTGCGGCGAGGCCGCGGTGGCCCCGGCAGTGTCGCGTGTCCCATTCGGAACCCCCCGTCCCTCGGGCCCGGCCGCGTCCCTGCCGGTCCTCAGCACGGTGACCTGCCGGGCCCTGGGCAAGGCAGCGGCGTGCCCGGGCTTGGTGGCACACGGGCCACCGGCACCGTCCCCGGGAGCCCCCGCGGGACGCTCGGCGGGGCGGGTGGGCAGGAGGGTGCCGTGCACGTAACTCTCCCGGTGCACGGGCACCTCCGGGGAGGGGGAGCCGTCCCCGCCGGGCCCCCCCTTCCCCCGCTCGTCCTGGCGCCGGGGCCGCTGCGCCGGGGCATAGACCTGCGAGAAGATGGGGCCGTGCGCCGTGAAGTCCTTGAGGAGGCTGGCGGAGGACGAGTGCTCCCGGTGCGTCGGGCCGGCGGGGCCGGAGCCCTTCTTCTCCACGATCTCCCTCTCCCAGGCCTGCAGCAGGAGGGACACGCGGGAGGGGCTCCCGTCCCGGCCCCGGGGGCTCCCGGTGCTCTCCAGGCGCCGCGACACCAGCGAGACCTTCTGGAAGCGGGAGCGAGCCTCCGGAGCGGCCGCCGCTCCCTGCTTCATGCTGAGCTCCGCGCTGGAGACGAAGGCTCTGCTCTTGGCGTGCCGGAACGGCGCATCCATGCCGGGGGCCCGGCCAGGGAGCGGTTCCAGCTCCGTGCTCCCCGAAATCCCCGCGCTGCCGGGCTCAGCCCCCGCGGCCGCCGCGCTGGGGCCGGCCGAGCTGCGGGGAGAGAAGGAATCTCTGGGAGAGCTGAGAAAAACCCCCCGCGGGAGCAGCCCCGGCCCCAAAACAGGCCTTTAAACCCCACAGACCTCCCTCTGATCCCGAGGGACATTTCGGGAGGATCCCGTGGGCACAGGAGGCGGCTCTGGGGCTCCTTGTGGTGCTCATGCCATCCGTCCTGGCACAGGGAGGGTGAGGGGGGCACCGTGGCTCCCTCTGCCTGGCCCTGCCAGCCCCGCTGTGCCCGGCAGGGCTGGTGGGAGCTCTGCCACACACCGGGGTGGGCTGTGGGCTGTGGCAGAGCCTGGCAGGGCACAGGGGAGCTTGGAAAAGCACAGAAGAGCCTGGTGGGGTACAGGGGAGCCTGGCGGGTCACAGGTGAGCCTGGCAAGGCACAGATGAGGCTGGCAGGGCACAGGGGAGCCTGGCAAGGCACAGAAGAGCCCAGCAGGACACAGGTGAGCCTGGTGAGTCACAGATGAGGCTGGCAGGGCACAGGGGAGGCTGGCAAGGCATAGGGGAGCCTGGCAGGGCACAGGTGAGCCCGGCGGGACACAGGTGAGTGTGCAGAATGCAGCCGAGCCGTGCCGTGCCCCGAGCTGTGGGATGAGTCAGGCGGGCAGCAGGGCTGCGCCGAGTCAGCAGAAGCAGCAAACAAACAAGCCCAGAAAACAACAGGGAAGCTGCTGCGTGCGGGAAAGGCCGGGCTGGGATGGGAGCGGGGCTGGGGCGGCAGGAGGGGGTGGAGACCCGAGCAGCCTCATCCCCTGAGCCTCCCCTGTGGCTGCGTGGCAAAGGTGGCATTGCTGCCTGCTCCTCCTCTGCAGCTCCACGGGCACGAGGAACCGAACTGGAATAATCACCCAGAGCCACCCCCGAGCTGAGACTGTCCCCAGCATGCAGCTGCACGTCCTGGCGTGGGCTGCTGCAGGGTGGGCATCGCTCTGGTCCCCGGGCTCAGGGCAGGGGACAGGGACACAGTGCCACCTCGGCCTGGGGGGGATGCCAGCACAGTCCCTGTGCTGTGGCCACATGCCTGCCCCAGAAAGGTTTTATTGCTGGTTTGGGACTGGGAAGCAGCTGACACAGCAGGCGCTGGGAGCGCACCCACGTCCCAGTGTCTCCCAGTTAGGAGCTGTTCGGTGTCACCGCCCAGCTGGGGACAATGGCAGGGATGGGGATCTGGGGTCAGCCCGAGGACAGGCTGGGATTAAGGTCCCCATCCAGGAATGGGGACTCCTCCCTGCACGAGCCCCAGGGCTGCTTTCCCTGGGGGACACCTCGGGGGAGGAGCTCATCCTGCAGCAGCCGGGTGGGACGAATTCAGCGCTGGGCTGGGTTTTCCCAGTCCCCGAGGGCATCAGGGGCCGGGGCAGGCGGGGAAGTGCCGGCTACAGGCAGCTGCCTGCCCCTTCTGCCAGCCCGCCACGAGCCCTCCTGATCCTGCTCTCCCCGGCCCAGCAGGTCTTTCCAGAACAGAGAGGAAGAGTTTGTGTCATTTTCCCGGAAGGTGATGAGACTTTGTCTGGGGCAGCCAGCACCGCTGGAGGCTGGGACCAGCCTGGGTGGGGCTGCACAGCCACATGGGCACAGCTGGGTGCCCAGGGCCACAGCTGGGTCCCCAGGGCTATGGCATCCTCCAGTGGAAGAGGGATGGATGCACTGGCCATGCCCATGGCTGTAGGACAGCACAGGGACACAGGGACGGGGACACAGAGACAGGGACACTGGCTCCATGCAGCACTGGGATGCTGGGGGGAGGGGGGGACCTGCTGACTCAGCATCCTGCCTCTCACCTGGAGCTGTATTTCCAAAGATCTCCAGGTCTGTCTTTCCCACTCCATCCCATCCCATCCCACCCCATCCCATCCCCACAGCTGGATCCAGCACCTGGTGCCACCCTGGGTCCCCCAGCTCCTGGGAAAGGAGCTCACCCCGAGCCCTGCTCTGCCCCAGCACCACATTTTCTGCTGTAATTCCCTCTGCAGCAATGGGTCAAGGACACGAGGACGCAAGGACAAGAGGACAAGACCCTGCAGCTCCCTGGCTGCTGCTGCCGGCCGTCCCCGCCTGCCCGGACGTGCCAGGCTGGATCCAGCGCTGTTGCCACACCGGGGCACCCAGCACGGCTCTAATTAATCCCCTTTGGCCAAGCCGAGCCAAGCCAAGCCGCTGACCTCGTTTGCTGCCTCCCGTCACCCCAAAGGGTCCCCAGCACCCAAGCCAAAGGCACGAGGCGCTGTTTAATATTCAGGAGAGACGGAGGGGCCGAGGGCAGCAGCTGCGGCTGCCTTTGAGCCGGTGACCACGGATTAAGCTGAGCCTCCGGCCACGTTGGGCTGGGCTCTGTCACCGCGGGGTGAGAGCGGACCTGCCACCTTCAGGAGGATCGGGGATCAGGGCTGGGCGGCTGCGGCACGGGCTGAGGTTCACGGGGAGGGCAGGGGAGCCCCCCTCGCTGCCCCCGTCCCCCCGCGCTGAGCCGGGCATGGGCAGCCGTGTGCCCGGCACGGGGAGGGACAGCGGTGACAGGGGAGCCCCGCTGTCCCCTCAGCCCGGGTCGTGAGGCCAGCAGGCGTGCAGGAGCCCCAGCTCGCTCTGGCACCTCTTGGGATGCACTGTGGTGGGGGGAGTTGGATTACAACCCCAGCAGCCCCCCAAATTCAGGGACTGAGGGTGAGAGGGTCAGAGCTGGGCTCAGCGCCCCCCTCCCTGGCCAGTGCTGCTCCTGGGGAAGCCGGGACCCATCCCAGCACCGGGCTCGGCTCCCAGCACCGGGCAGCCCCGCGGGTGGCAGCGGGACGGGAGCCCCGGTTCCACGGGAGCCCCGGTTCCACGGGAGCCCCGGTTCCACGGGATCCCTGGTGCCGCCTCCCCCGGAGCCCCTTCCCTGCCAGTCCGGGCAGCGCCCTGTGCCCCCCGTACCTGCCCGCCGAGGGTCCCGCCGTGCCGGCCGGGCTCTGAGCCGTGCCGTGCCGTGCCGTGCCGTGCCGCGCCGAGCGGGCTCGCGGGGCTGCTCTGTGCACACCGCACAGCTGGGCGGACCGGCAGAGTCACCCTGAGCACCCAGCCCTGAGCACCCAGCCCTGGCGCAGCGGAGGTTTGGCATTCCTCAGGTGCTGACAGCCGGGGAGCCGGTCCGGCTGGTTCCAGACCCGGCTCCCCCCGTTTCCTCCGACTCAGCAGTGCCGGGAGGGAGCCCAGCCGGCCTGGGTGGCTCTGGGCCCCCCGGACCTCTATCCCACCACCCACCGAGTGAAGGGCGGTGGGAACCTCGGACGGGACACCAGGGACCGCTTTGTGCCCGCGCCAGGGGCAGGGCCGGGGGCTGGCAGGGTCCCAGCAGGGCGCTGAGGGGCTGGGGGTCCGCGGGCTGGGGCTGGGGGTCCGCAGGGCTGGGGCTGGGGGTCCGCGGGGCTGGGGTCGCCCCGGGTCAATCCCCTTCCCGGGGGTCCCACGCGGAGCCCCCAGCACTGCAGCGCCTTCCCGAGGGGCTTCGAATGCGGGGACATCTCCCATGTCTCGGAGGGCTGGGGCTCTCCAGGGGCTTCACACGGGCTTGGGGACGGAGTGGGCATCACAGTAGCCCTGGGCCACCGCGGGAGACCTGACCCGGGGCGCAGGGCCCCGTCCGGGCAGGGCTGGGAGCGCAGCAGGGCCCGCACCCGCCCCGTAGCCTCCCCTGCCCTCCCGCTCCGCCCCAGCCCGCGGGAGCCGCTGCGGTGCCAGCCTCTGCCCGGGGCCACCACTCCCGGCTGCTGGCCCAGCCCAGGAGCCTCCCCGGCCACCGCCAGCCCGGCGCAGGTGGCCACAGTTCAGCTCCGGCTGGGGCCACCCGGCTCTGGGTGACACCGCTCACGTGCTGGGGAAACTGAGGCAGAGCCGAGCTCCCTCTGCCGGGTCCTGGCCGGTCCCCGCTCCCCTCCCGTGCCCTTCGCCGGGCCCCCAAGGGTGGCTGAGCACCCACGCGGGGACCGACTGCCCCAAGGGTGGCTCGGGCACGGGAGCGGGATGTCCCCTTGGTGTCCCCTGCGTCCCCCCGGTGCTCGCAGGAGCGGCAGCGATGGGGTCCGGGCAGCCCCTGCCCGGCTGGGTCAGTGCGGGTGCACAGGCTGTGCCAGGCTGTGCCAGGGTGGGTGTCCGTGCCCAGCCAGCCGAGGCTCCAGCGGGAGTTCCCTCACAGCCCCCGCACCGGCCGGGCAGCGTTTAGTCAGCGCTGGGGAGGGTTCCCCGCAGCAAACCAGTTCCCCGGGCACTGGAGAAACTGGAGGGACACCGAGGCGAGCCTGGGCTTTGAGTCACTGTGTGCGAAGGGAGGGACACGGAGCGGGGCACGCCGGGCACGGGCGGGGTCGGGCTCGGCAGAGACACGGGGCCGGGGGGAGCCCCGCAGCACCCCGAGTCCTGCCGGGGCTGCAGGGGCGCCCCGCGGTCATCGTCCCTCCAGGCGGGGGGGAGCGGGAAGGTCGGAGTGGAAAAGGAAAAGGAAAAGGAAAAAAGGAAAAGGAAAAAACGAAAAAGAAAAAACGAAAAGGAAAAGAGGAAAAGGACGCTGCGGTGAGCCGTGTCCCCTCCCGCGGGGGGACGCTCTCTGCTCTGGCCTTTCCAGCTGCCAGCTCCGGGGCGGGGCAGCCGCTGCTGTTTGGAGGCACTGAGGGCGAGGGGCTCTGCCGGGATCAGCCAGCCCAGCTTCCTTGGAAGCACCCTGACCAGGACTTTGGGGGTTTTCCAGCCCCCCAAGAAAGATGAGAACCCTGTTCGCCAGGCCACCAGAGAGAGGAGGAAGATGCAGGCGAGGCCGATGCTTTGGGAGGTGAGATCCAGCTGCTGGAGGAGGGGCTCTGCCTTTCCCCAATATCCTGCTGTGCCCTCCTGGCTCCCCCAAACCAATTTTCTCCCCCACTCCTGGGTTTGCTGTTGGGGGAGTGAGGTCTGAACAAGGCTGGGGGGATTTAAAGGGCAAGGACAGACGTGTGAGCTCTGGTCTGGGGGGTCTGCAGCCTCTGAGGAATATCCTTCAGCTGTCGATTCCCCTTTATCAGGGAGCAGGAATATGTATGGGCCGAGGTGCTGATCAATGCCCGCTCTGCAGCGATCAATCAGCCGCTGCCCCAGGGCTCCTATCGACGGGAGCTGCCGAATTTGGGCACAACCCATCACTGCAGGCCAGGGGACGGGGCTGTGTCTGTCCCCCTGCCCTGCGGGCAGAGCCCCACGGGGCACCCTCAGGAGCCCTCCTCACCCTCCTCACCCTCGTCACCCTCCCCTGCCGGGTGCCAGTGCCCGGGGAGCCCCGGTGGGGATGGAGCAGGATGGCCACGCTCCATCCCCAGAGCTCTGGGGCACCCCCAGCCGGAAAAAAAGCCCCAGGGAAGAATTTTTGGAGGGTTGGGGAGGTGCTGCCTGCTGAGGGCACCCTCGGGGAGCAGCCTGTGCCAGTGTCCCCCCAGCCCCGGGACATCTCTCAGTCCTGTTGGGGCGAGCAGGGGGTGCGGGGGGCAGAGAGGGGGAGGAGCAGCTCCGTGCCTCCTTTATTGATTGCTCGGTAGCCAAAGGTCAGCGGCGAGCGTGGAAGGCTGGGGAGGAGGGAGGGGGGTGTGAGGGGCTCGCTGCCAGCCCTGGGCTGGGCCACGGTGGAGGCAAATGCCAGCCTTAGGCAGGGCAGGGTGGAGTGCCCAGCATGGTCACCCCCCGCTCCTCCTCGTGCCTCAGTTTCCCCACCAGCAGATGGGCTGGCAGGACTGGGCAGTGACCACCGGGCTGGGTGGGTGGGGAAGGAGGCGTGGGGGGCTGGAGGGAAGGGTCTGTGCCCGCAGGAGGGGGTGGAGAGAGCTGGAGGAGGTTTGTGCGTCTGTGTGCAGCCAGCAGGCTGTGCCTGCGGGGTGGGCAGGGAGAGGGATCGGTTTTCCTTGGCAGGAGCTCGGAGGCTGCTTTTGAGCTGGGAATTTTGAGAGTGGTGACAGTGACAGCGCTGGGAGATGGCGCTGGAGCCTCAGCTCATATAAGATCATTTTTCCACGGCCCTTCAGGACCCTGGAGGGGCTTGCAGCTCCCTGGGGACACCGGTGCCCATCCCTGCCAGCGCTGTGACCCTCGTGCCCGGGCGCTGCCCATCCCCAGGGCTCGTCCTGCCGGGTCCGGGCCCGGCGGAGCCCCGGGGCAGCTCCGTGGGTCCGGCCCAGGCACAGCAGCGCCGGCACCGGGCTCACAGAACTGCTGCCCTCGCCCCGGCCGTGCCGAGGGAGAAGATTTACAGGCTGTCAGAGCCGGGGCCAGAGGTCAGCAGGGGTCAGAAAGTCCATTTCAGTGAGGTCACTGTCCACTTCTTTCAATCTAATGAAGCCATTATTTGTGAAAGCGGTCGCTTTGCCGGCTCTTCCCTTGAAGCCGAGCAGGGCACAGCCACCGGCTCTGAAAGAACAGGAAGGAGTCCCCGTCCCTTCCCTTCCGCGTTTGCCATTCAACAGGACCCGAAAACAAACACAGCGCGCACAGAAATGTGCCGCGGGGCCGGCGTGCCGCGGGCTGGGACACGGCAGCCGGGAAGGGTGGCATGGGGAGGGATGGCAGTGCCCCGAGCGGGGATGGGGCTGCGCCGCTGGCTGGGAAGTCACTGAGGACGGCCAGAAACCGGGGGGTGCTCAGGGAGTCGCTGCTGCCTGCAAATAGTTACAGGAAAATTCTCTGGGGTTGCTGCTGTCACCCCTGCCCGTCGGGAAGGGGCTGCAGGGGGAGCCTGGGGGTTATTTTCTGAAGGATTCGTGGTGGAGAAGGCAGAAAAGAGCTGGTTCCTCACCAGATCCTTCCCCCGTGCCCTCACACCGTGCAGGCTGTGCCCTCCCCAAATCCCGAGTGGAGGAGCTGGGATGGAAGCAGGGATGAGTGTGGAGGCTGGGTTATTTCCTCCCTCCTGCCGCAGCTATCCCACAGCCGAGAGGAAAACGAGGATGAATGTGCAGCCCCTGCAGCCAGGAGAGGGGGCCAGACGCGCTCCTGCTCCCGGGATTGTCCCGGGATGGTCCCGGGCCGCCACCCGCAATGCTGTGAGCGCCAGCAGAGAGGGAGAGCGAACAGGGACAGGCACCGCGGTTCCCTTCTTGCCAGGACTGCCCCCAGCCCCGTCCCGGACTGGGAATTCTGCGGCTGCCAGAGCCTGGCCAGGGATGGCAGTGGGGATCCCACAGGGAGCACCGGCCAAACCCTTCCCCGGGCTTTGGGGATCGGTCGGGACTGACGAGGAGGGATCAGCGGAGCTTCCTCCCGGCCCGGCTCGTGCCCGTTGAGAGCGGTGTGAAGGTGAGGGGACACGCTGTGACACCGGGCGGGGGTCACTGGTGGCACCTCCCGCCCTGTCTGTGTGGGGCACGGATCCACCTGCACCGAGTCCTGGCGGGTTGGGGCGCTCCCGGCAGCTCGCTTGACTGCCTGCACAGAGAAAAACCCTCCTCTTCCTCCTCTTCTTCCTCCTCCTCCTCCTTTGCCGTCCACCTGTGGGGTCCAGGAGCTGCTCGGCTCTGTGGGGAAGGGGCAACGAGGAGTCCCCGCTGTGCGGGGCAGGAGCGGGAGGAGGGAGAGGAAGAGCGGGAGGAGGAAGGCACCGCCAGGACCCTGGACAGGGCCGCCTTTCAGCACCACGGCCAGCGGCAGCGCCCGCGGAGCCCGCGCGGGGATTCCCCACGCGGGATTTCACCGCCAGCACCGGCCCGGCCCGGGGGTCCCCCCGCGGGTCCCCCCGCGGTCCCCACCGCCCCCGGTGACCGCTCGGTGCCCGCCGGTGCCCCGCTGGGTGACACCACTCGGGACTGTCCCCGCGTGGGGCGGCGGCGGGGGGCGCAGAGGGCACCCCCAGCCCCAGCTGCCCCTCGGGGGGGACTCCCGGAGCGGGCCGGTTTGGGGGGCCGGGGGGCACCCCCGGGCACAGCCCGGGCGGGCGGCGGGCGGCGCTGTGCCCCCGCGGCCGGGGCATTGTCCGCCGCCGGAAATGGAGCCGCTGGTCACTCGCCCTTTGTCCCCGCCCGGCCCGGGGGGCGCCGGGCCCCCGACACCGCCCCGGCACCGCCGGCACGGGGGGCGGCGCGGCCCCGGGGGCAGCGATCCCGCGGCTCGCACGGTGCCGGGGGGCGCGCCCCGCTCTCGGGACACGCGATGGGGCGGGGGGCGCAGGAAGCCCCCGGTGTCCCGGGAAGCCGCCCCCTCCCCAGCGCTGCCGCCCGCCCGGTGCCGGTTCCCCCGTCCCACCGGGCCGCGGCTCGCAGGTGGCTCCAATGACGGGGAGAAGCGAGGTGGGAGCTGCCCCGGTGTGCGGGGGTCCCGCGTGCAGCCCCCCCTGCCCGGGTGTCACCTCCTGCCTTGACAGGTGGCCTCGCCCCTAAGTGCCCTAAGCGTGGGGGGGGTCAACCCGCAGAGCCCCCCCCACCCCCGCTGCAAATCCCTCCCGGAATGTGTCGCTATTACCGGGGGGGTTAATTAGGATCACGTGGGGCGGGATGGCGGAGCAGGGCCCGGCGCCCCCCGGCCCCGCGGGTGGGTCCTGGGGGGGGCGGGGGCTGCTATTGTCTGCGAGAATTTGGGAGCCTTTGAAAAAACCCTCCCGCTCCCTCCCACCCCTATTGTTGGAGTGAAGATGGAGTCAAACCTCTCCCGGCTCCCTCCCGGCGGGGTCTAAGCTGGGTTTTTTGTTGGTTTTTTTTTTTTTTCTCCTTTTTTTTTTTTTCTTTTTTTTTTTTTTTTTTTTGGCTGGCCTGATACCCTCAAAGCTGGCCGAGGAGGAGGAGGGAGGAGGCGGTAACAGCCACAACTCGGAATTTGCAAGCGAGTGTCGGGATGGGGTCTGTTTCCAACCAGCAGTTTGCAGGTTAAGTTATATTATTGTCGCAGCCCGCCTCGGCTCCGCGATTATTAATAACGAGGGCAGAGCCCGGCTGGGGGGCGCAGGGACCCCCCCGACCCCGGCCCACCCAGCCCCGCTGCGCCCCGGCAGCGCGGCCGGGCCCGGCGGGCGCCCCTGCCCCGCGCAGCGCCGGGGGCTCCAGGGGGGGATTTATCGCGGTTTTTATCCCCCCTCCAGCCCCAGGATGACCCCAGAAGTTTGGGGCCGCTGGCGGCTGCTGGGGGTGTTTTGAGCGGGGGTGGAACGGGGCAAGGGGGGGATGCTGACTGCGAGGGAGAGTTTCTCCAGCATGGCTTGCTGGGGGCAGGGGGGTTTCAGGTTGGTATTTTGGGGGAGTTTTTCTCCCTTTTTAAAAGTTTCGTTTTAATGTTTTGATTTTAGAAAAATAATTTGGCTATTTTTTTTCGTTACTCGTTTGGTCTTTTTGTGTGTGAGTCTGGGATTTTTGATTTTTTTTCCCGTTTTTAACGTTTTTGAGGGAGAAACGGATTTAGGGCTCCCCCTCCACGCACTGCCTGGGTCGCGCTGGCAGGAGCTGCCTTCGTTTCCTGGGGTGACCCCCGTGCACACGTGGAGGCAGAGCTCACCTCTCTGATGGTTTTTTTTGTGCCTTTGGGGATTTTTTGGCGTTTTCCAGCCCGGCACCCCGAGCAGGGTTGGAGGTTCCTGTGCGGGCCGCCCGGCTGGGTGCGGGGCGCTGGGCCGGGGGCACCCGCGGCTCCCCCAGCCCGCGGCTCAGCGGCTCCGTGGGTCTCTCGCCAGGTGCGAAGCCGGGCGAGGAGCCGGCCGGAGACTCGCCCAAGGCCGAGAACGAGTCCCAGCCCCTGCACGGCTCCGGCATCTGTAAGTGGTTCAACGTCCGCATGGGCTTCGGCTTCCTCTCCATGACCGCCAAGGGCGGCGCCACCCTGGACTCCCCCGTGGATGTCTTCGTGCACCAGGTACGGGCCGGGGTCGCGCGGGGGCTGGGGAGGGCAGGGCAGCCCCTCCGGGGGATGGAGGGGCCGCGGGGACCCCCCTGCGCCCCAGCCCGCGCGGCCGCAGCCGGGGCTCCTCTCCGGGGGCCGGCGCTGTAAGGCGATCCCCGTTTCATTTCGCCGTCGTTGCCGGCTGAGTGGCCCCTCGGGGCCGGGGAGCAGGTGCCCGCGGGACGCGCCGGAGCGGGGACACGGCTCGGCCCGAGGAGGGACCCGGGGAACCGGCGGTGCCACCCCGGTAGCCGCTCCCGGGAGCGCCGAGCCTGGCCGGGATGCGGCACCGGGAGCTCTCCCGCTGGAGCTCATCCCGGCACCGGGCAGCTCCGCCCGAGCCCTTTGTCCCGTTGCGGGTGGCACAAAGGCGTCGCGTTTGTGTCCCTGCGGATCTGAGTGACAGTGACAGTGCCGTGTCCGGGTCTGACCTCGCTGAGCGGGGAAGCCCCACGCGTGTCGGGGACCCTGCACCCGGGGAAGCCGTGGGTGAGGGGCTGAAGTTCCTTGAACGCCCCGGATCCCGGGGCAGGATCCGCCGGAGATGCCCCGGGGGCTGGGGAAGGGGTCTGGGGACCGTGCCCAGAACGGGGCTCAGCGCCGCTCGTGTGGTGCCCCCCACCTCGGGACAGCGGCTGGGGGGCAGAGCGAGCACGAGCCAAGGGGGGACGGGTGTTTTTGGGGCAAACACGGGGGGTTTGTGCCCCTGACTCAGTGCAGCGCCGCGGTGCTGGCTCTGGGCAGCCCCCGGAGCAGCCGCCCGCAGGGCTGCTGCTCCTCACGGGCCCAAAGCCCCCTGGAGCGGGTCCATCCTGGGGGCTGGGGGCGCAGGGCTGAGCTCTGGGCTCTGAGGAGCTCCTGGAGGTCGCTCCCGGAGGTCGCTCATTCCCTGTCCTGGAGCTCCAGGCAGGACTGGCGAGGAAATGATGGCCAGGGGAGATGCCAGTCCCTTCTCCCTTGGCTGTGCCATGGGCAAAGCGCCTTGGTAGGAGCTGCTCTCCCAGGCACAGCTGGTTTTGGAGTCAAGGGCTGCAAATCAGCCAGGGGAAAACAGATCCTGGTGTTCTCCGGAGAGCAAATGGGCCTTTGCATCTCAATGCCGCACAGCGGGACCCAGCGCTCCCGGGGAGAGCCCCCCGCCCTGCTCCCGCGGCTTTATTGCCCCCAGACAGTCTGGTTTCCTGATTGCTCCTGCTCACATTCCTGCAGGGGAAGGGAATTAGCTGGGGTGTCAGTGTGGGAGCATCCCGCTGCCTGCAGCCTCTCGGTGCCCCCCGGTTCCTCAGGTCGGGGGAGCCGTGGGATCCCAGAGATTGCAGCGTTTGGGAAGCACGAGGAACTCTGGGGAAAAGCGGCTTATTTTGGGCAGCAGAGGGGCCGGGGGCGTGGGGGGTTCCCCCGCTGCAGCAAAGGGCTTTGCCCCACCAGCAGATTTGGGCTGATGGAGAATTCTTCTCCTGCGGGTCGGGTTTCTCCTGCTCCGCTCACTGGTGGCACAAAGCCCCTGCTCTGCTGCAGAGACAGCCGGAGCTGCTCCCGGTGTCTCTCCCAGCGCAGAGCATCTCCTGGCAGAGGGAACAGCTCACGCTCCCACCGGGGCCTCGCTGCTTTTGGGGGTGCCGTGCAGGGAACCGGGTCCTTGTCCCGATGCTGTCCTCACCCCGACACCCGGGCGCTTCCCCAGAGCCCGTGTCGGCTCCGCTCCCGGGGACGGAGGCCGGGCTGCGAGGGCAAAAGCCACCAAAAGCCACCAAAAGCCACGGGGCCAAGGCTCAGGGCTCGCTGTGCCCTGCCCAGCACCCAGCACCCCAAACCAGCTTTGGGGCTTAACACTCCAGAGCCCCTCAAAACCCGCTCCTTGCCCTCCTCATTTACATATGTGAATGATGACCCACAGGAAGTAATTGTGGGAGAAAGAAGGGAATTGGCCTCTTTAGATCTATTAAATCACTTTATTACAGGAACCAGGTCTGAATGGCCCCTCTCTGCAGGGAGCGCGTCTCCATCTCCCTCTGCCTTTATCTGATCACAAAGAGATTAAAATCTCGGCAGGACAGGAGACTAACAGGGCTCCTTGGGGCTGCCTTTCCCTCGCATTGTGAGCTAAAAATGAGGCATTTGGGTTCAAATGCCTCCCCTGGACACTGGAGATGGATTCATTTGGGGGCTGTGAGGAGACAGGAGGGATGAAGCGGAGGGGAGCAGAGCAGATCGTCCCGGGGAGACCAAGGGCTGAGCAGCACCCCTGAGGAGCTGGGGGTCTTGAGGTGGCAGAAATTGGGCTGGTGGTGATGGTGAACACCCCAAAGGTGCAGTGGTCCCCTCGGGATGCGGCTCCCGGGCTCTGAGCATCACTCACAGGAGTGTGGAGCTGCTTGGGAAGGCAACACGGAAAGAGGGAAAGGGGGAAATCGAGGCTCGGTGCCGCTGGTTGGAGCTGGAGGAGCAGAGCAGAGCTGGGCTGGGGTTTGGGCTGGGCTCTGGCTGGGGCAGAGAGGAAGAGGATGTCCAGTGCCTGGAAATCATTGCTCTCCACAGCTTGGCTCTGCATTTCCGAGCGTTTCTCCCAGCCAGCAGGTCTAAATCCTTGATAAATGCAGTTAGTTGGGTGGGTTTGTTCCTTCTCGTGGTTTTAGCAAGAAATTCTGCCGGGCACCGTGGGCACCGTGCCCGCAGGGTTTGCTCACTGGCATCTCAGTCCTGTGTGTCCTTGTGGGGACACAAAGCTGTGCCCGTGGTTTGACCTGCTGGGGCTGGGATGTGGCACTCCCCGGGCAGGGTGGGACCCGCTGGGGACATCCCAGCACGGGAGGGGCTCCTGTCCCCCGTGATGCCGGACAGGGATGGGGTGGGGTGGGATAACGGAGGTGGAAGTTTGGACACGGGTTTGGCTGAGCCCACCTGGGCTGTGACCCACCTGTGCCACCCCGTGAGCGCAGCCAGGATAATACAAATAATCATCCACGTGAGCGTGACGTGAGGCCTTTAAAAAAAAAAAAATCGTGTTTGGAGGCAGCTCCGCGGCTGAGCGTGCAGAAGGGCACGAGGGACAGTTCCTCTGTCAGGGAGCAGGACCCAGCCTTGCCTGGGCTGGGCAGGATCCCAGCGGGGCTTTGGGCTGAGCGGGGCTGGGGGCAGCGAGGGGAGGGGGAATCCGTGGTGCTCCATCCTCCAGGGACACGGGAATATCTCGCTTTTCCTGTGCTCGCTCCGCAGGAGCAGGGTCACCCCCAGCCCGGGGGCACCGAGGTGCACATCCCCGGGGGGGAAGGAGATCGTGGAATCACAGATTCGTTTGGGCTGGAAAGGACCTTTAAAGGTCATTTAATCCAACCCCCCTGCAAGGAGCGGGGAACTCCCGCAGAGATCCCCTGGGGTAGAAATGCTCCTTGGAATCTCTGCTGCTTTTTTTTTTTTTTTTTTTTTTTGTGGGGGGAGAGGGGTAGTAGCAATTTCTTTGGTTTTGTTTATTTTGTAGGGTTTTTTGGTTTTTTTAAAATAACCGCTGGAATGAAATTGTATTGCGCCGCGTCCCGATGGGAAATTCTGAAAGAGAGCGGCTTTATTCCACCCCTGAAACTCCCTCAAGACGCTCACACACACACACAAAAAAAAAAGCCTCCTGTCTCTGTCTAAAGATTAACTGATGGCCGCAGGCACATCCCTTCCCCCAGCTCCCCCTCCCTGCCCCAGGGAGAGAAAACACCCTGCAATGGTCTCCTGGATAACGCGGCCCAAATGAATGGGATCGCTCCGGGACGGAGCCCCTGTCCTGCCGCCCCCCCTCCAGCTCTGCCCTTCCCTTTTCCCCCTTCCCTCACTCCTAAGAATTAGCGGCATGGAGCTGAAATCATCGTCGGGAGAGGCGCGGCTGCTCCGGGAGCACAAAATTAATACGCAGCCACTGATCCCAATTAGCTGCCCCTGGGAAGTGCAGGAGGGTTTTGGTGGGGGGAAAAAAAATACAACCAGAGGAGCTAAAAGGATTTAGGACAGGAAACTGATGGATTAAACTCTGTGGTAGATGCCTTTTTGGTTGTTGGTTTGTTGTTTTTTTTTTTCCCCCTCGGAATTTGTATTTAGAGTTTAATTTTAGTGGTTTGTGGTGGAAAATTGGGAGCAAACATCGTTACTTTGGCAGGGAAATGCCTTTATTTTGATTTTAGTTGAAGTCGGTAGGGGTCCTTAGGGACATTGCAGATGACTGAGGGAGCCAGTGGAAGCCTTGGTGGTGTTTTGTTAAATCCTCTGCGCTCTCCCCGGGGGCTCCAAGGGCATCGCCCTCCTTGTCTCAGCAGCACGCCCGGGCTGGGGCAGGAGCCGCTGTGCCCAGCACATCCCCGGGTGTGCGAGGGGACCGGGGGGCTCCTGCTCCAAGCCTCCCCTCCTGAGCCCAAACCCAGCAGCCATCCTGGAGCTGCTGGGAAAGATCTGCTGTGTGAGCTGGGGACAGGGCAGGGCCTTTGGGGACAGGGACGAGCCAGGCTGTGGGGGCCAAGGGACAATTCCCTGCCGGGACTGGGACTCGGGTCGCTGCTCCGTGCTGGCTGAGCCCAGCCCTGCCCGATCTGCTGCGGGGGTGTTTGCCAGCGGGCAGTGCCCAGCTGAGGGGGAACTGCTCTGCCAGGGCTGGGCTGAGCCCGCTGCACCCCCGGGGTTGGGGTGGCAGCACCCAGTGGCCGTGGGGGACCCGTGGCTGGAGAATTGGGCAAGTGTCAGCCCCTGCCGTCCTTCACACCGCGGGCTGCTCTCACAAATCTGAGCCCCCGGGGTGGCCCCCGGGGGTCCTGGTGGGCTGAGGGCGGCCCTGGGGGCTGCCCTGCACCCCCACAGGGTGCCTGGTGCCTTGGAAGTGGCAGAAGGAGGTGACAGAGGGACAGGGACACCGCGGCTCTGGGGACACCATCCTCTGCAGAGCCGGGGGGGCTGCACGGTGCCAGCTGAGCCAGAGCTCACCGCGGGCAGGGCACCCCAGTGATGGGGACATGGCCCCCCCCGGGCTCAGCAGCCCCTGCGCTGCCTTTCCTGACCCTCCTCTGCAGAGTGGGGGAAACTGAGGCACAGGCACTGCCTGCAGTGGGGCTGGGCAGGGCTCAGACATAGCCGTGGCACAGCTGGGCACTGCCAGCGGTGTTCCTGCAGCCGGGCTTAGCCCAGCATCCCAGCCCGGCTCGTTTTCCGAGGGATCTCGGTTTAAAGGGCTCTGGAGGGCCGAGGTGCAGCGGCTGCTCCGCCCCAGGCCCCGCTGGACACAAAGATGGTTTGATTGAGTGGCCGGGGCTGCCTGGGAATAAACGTCCCCTTGTGTCGCGCTGGGGAGGCCGCGGGGACAATGGTGACCCCGGGAGCCCCTCCGGAGCCCGGCGGGGTGGGGGAGAGCCGGAGCCGGCAGCTCGGGGGGCAGCGGTGGGCTTTGGGGCGCCGCACGGTGTCATCCCTTCAGGACGGGAAACGCGGCTGAGTGCGGGATCTGCGATGAGGGATTTGCTGGCTGGGAGGAAGAGGAGGGATGAAGGCACCCCTGTGCGGGGGGGTGGGCAGCGCTCGGCCGCTCACGTGCTGCGCTTTGTCCGCCCTAAATAACCGGGGATGGGATGCGGGGAGGGAGGGGAGAGGTGCCCGCCGTGGTGCCCGGGGGCCGCTGCTGAAGCTGTGCCAGCTCTGCCCCTGTCCCCTGTCCCCCCCGCTTAACTCCGGGCCCGATGGCCACAAGGAAATCCCGGCCGGGCCACGCTTCCTTCGGGATGGCAGCGCTTTGTGACCCCGAGCCCAGGGCCACCGCGCACCCCCGGTGCCAGAGCCACCCCCGGGACCGCGCAGAGCCCAAACCCCGCGGGCAGCGGGCGAGCTGGGCACGGCACGGCTGTGCAGGGGCTGCAGGGGGTCAGAGGGCCCGCGGCCACCCTTCCTCCCCCCGCCGGGGCCTGGAACTCCTGGAATTTGGGCAGCGGGAGCGCGGCCGCCGCCGGCCCTTTGTTCTCGCTGGCCGGTGGCTCCCGGCCCTCCCCTGCGCTCCCCCCATCCCCAGCATCCCCGGCTCGCTCCAATCCCCCCCTTCCTCTCTTTATTTTTTGGGGGGGGGTGTGGGTGTGTGGAGGCCTGGGAAGGCTCCGGCTTTGTGTGTGGTGTGGGACAGGGGCTCTGGGCCCCTTCCTTTCAGATGCAGGAGGTATGCAGCTAATTCAATGGGCTGCAGTTTGATTACCTATCTGATAACAGAGGAATGCCAGCAATGTGTGTGTTTTGGGAAGGGGGCAGGGGGGATGCGCAGGGACCACCAGCCACTCTGCAGCGCACATCAAAAGGCTGCGGTGGGGGGGGAGCGGGGGCAGAGCTGGGACGCCCCAGCCTCTGTCCCCCCCTTCCCTGGGGAGAGGGCGTTTCCTTTGGCCTTTTGGCGGAGGGGGCTGGGGGTGCTTGTCATCCTCACCCGCTCCTGGAAAATAAATCGCTTCCCCGTCGTGTTGTGGCAGCTTCTGCCTCATCCCTCCTCTTCCTCCGAGAGGGGCTGAGGGTGCACGGGGCTGGACTCTGGCAGAGGGGCGGTGGTGCCCAAGGTGTGGCTGAGCTGGGGGGCCCAGCCCGGGCGCTGGGGACCCCCTGGCACGGCTCAGCTTCAGCCCGAGGCTCAGGGCTGAGCGCCTGGGAGTTTTCATCCCCGCAGTGTAAACACAGCTGGGCCAGCTGGGGCTGTAAACGCCCTGAGAGGAGCCACGGGAGGTGCCTGGCCTCGGCCCCGCTCCCAGGGCTGCCTCCCGTGCCAGGGAGTGATGCTCAGCCCCTCCTCACCCCAAAACCCCGGGCTGCCGTGGGAATGGGGTACATTCCCCATTTGGGATAGCTCCCATTGCACAAATCACCTCGGGCTGGGGACAGGCCGGGCTGGTGGCTGAGCCAAGGTGCTGAGACACCTCTGGGGTGTGCTGAGGCACCTCTGGGGCGTGCTGAGACACCTCTGGGGTGTGCTGAGACACCTCTGGGGTGTGCTGAGACATCTCTGGGGTGTGCTGAGACACCTCTGGGGTGTGCTGAGGCACATTTGGGGTGTGCTCAGGCACATTTGGGGTGTGCTGATGCCTTGGGCACAGAGCTCCTGCCTAGGGGATGCTCAGCACGGGGCAGCTGGGTGGGTGCTGGGGAGCAGTGTTCAGTCACTGGGGGGTTTGCCAGGGGCTGGTGGTGCTGGCACTGCCCTGGGTGGGCACAGGTGGCCGTGACACTCTGTCAAGTCCTTGTTGTCATTTGGGGGCTCAGAGCTCAGGGTTTTGCCCTCCCTTGAGGCAGCAGGAGCAAAGGAGGGTCCCTGTGGCCACCCTGAACCCCAGCCCAGCAGCCCAGGGGATCCAGGGCCTGGGGGTGACTTGGCCCAGCACATGGGGTCTGTCCCACCCTGAGCTGGACCCCCAGGCACACAAAGGGAGGGGAAAAGCAGCAGAAAAAGGGGTCTCAAGGGTTGTTCCTCGAGCTCTGCCGTGCTCCCACTTCTCCCGTGCCCTCGGACTCACAGACATCCCGCAAGACCCTGCCAAGAAAAATTCACTCCTGTAACCCAACAGCTCCACTTCTTCCCTCTCTGTTTCCACGTGGGCCGTTCGCTCGTGACTCCCGGTGAGGTTTGGAGCGGGGAGGGGAGCGGACGGTGCCGGCCCGTCCCGGTGGCTGCGGGGGGAACGGGAGAAGGCGGCCCGCGTGACGGGAGCCCTCCGGCCATGAATGGGGGAGATGCTCCATTCATAAATGCGATGCAGCGTGGTGCTGCAGCCGCGCAGGCGTTGGGAATCCCCCCGGCAGGAGCTGCTCCTCCCTCTGCCAGCACATTCCCCCGAACTGGCTGCTCACGCTCCTTGCGGTTGCCTGGCAGAGCTGCGGGGATGCCGAGCTGGAGCTGCTGCCCCCGGGATGCTCAGGGCACAGGGGGAGAGAATTCCCGCCTGCCTCACCCAGCTCTGCTCCTTAGGGATTTGTTCTGCTAAAATGGACAGAGCCCCTCGAAGTGGAGAGGGGTTCTCCTGTCACCTCACAACCCCCCCTCCCCAGCCTGGGTTTGTCTTGGCTCCCCTGCTTTGATTGTGTGGTGATAACCGACGTGGTGTTCCTGGAAGGAATGGGAGAAGCTCCCAGCAGTGATGATCCTGTGCCAAATGGCTGCTTAATTAATTATTGCAGGCAGTTAAAGGGCTCGAGCTGAGCCTTGCTACAGAGCCTGCCACGAGCCCAGCTCCCATCACTGTGCAAAGCCTCGAGATTCTTTTGTATTAATAAAACAGAACCAAGGGACAGGCAGGGGGGACATTTGCAGCTCTCGCGCCACACCGGCCTTTGTGCTGTGCTGGAGAACAGCCAGCTCTGTGCTGACCCCCGTCCTCTCCCCGTGCCCCCCAGAGCAAGCTCCACATGGAGGGTTTCCGCAGCCTGAAGGAGGGCGAAGCCGTCGAGTTCACCTTCAAGAAATCATCCAAAGGTTTGGAGTCCATCCGGGTGACCGGCCCCGGGGGCGTCTTCTGCATCGGCAGCGAGAGGAGGCCCAAAGGGAAGAGCCTCCAGAAGCGCAGGTCAAAAGGAGACCGGTGAGGGCTGGGCCGGGGCTGGGGCCGAGCCCCGCGGGCACCGGGAGCTGCCCGGGCACCCCGGGGATGGGCACGGGGCCGGTGGGATGACCCTTGGTCTGGGCAAGCAGCTTCCTGCGGTGCTAATGAGCGGCAGATGCAGCTCGGTGGGGAAGGGCAGCGAGAGCAGGAGGGGCAGAGGTCAGGGACACCCCGGGCAGGCTCCCCTTGCCCCAGAGCCTGGCTGGGCTGGGGCTGCTGGCTCCAAGAGAAGCCTTTCCTTGTGGGAAGGAAACAGCAGGACCATGGCAGGATGGGAGCCCAGGGGAAAGTTTCTGGCCAGGCCTTCATCCCTTCCATCCTCTCCATCCTGGCTGCCTGGGGATGCCCCATCACAGTTTTGCCAGTGGATGCTGTCCAGCCCACTCAGCTGCTCTCACAAACAGGTTTTTTAATTCATCAGAAAGGAATTGTGAAGGAAAAGGAAAGAGAAAAGGGTTGTGGCCATCCTGCATGGATGCAGGATTTAAAATGGACACAGGGCAGCTCCCTCTGCTCCTGTGTGAGGGTGGCACCCATGGGACAGGACCTGGGAGGCGCAGCCCAGTGAGGAGCCACCCCTGGCATTGTCCCCACACGATGACAGCTCATGATGCCAGTCGTTCCTTTGCCTGTCCTGGGGCAGTGTAATCCCGGGAGTGGGGTCTGGAGACACGGGAGCAGCACACTGATGGAGCCAGAGGGGTGGAACCCCCCACATCCCGTTTTGTCCCCGGTGTGTGGTTCCAGTGCAGAGGTTTGCTGCCATCTCCTGGGTACCAGCAGCACCACTGAGCCCCAGCTGGCCGTGCAGGGACCAACCCTGGGGCCACCACCCACCCCGAAAGCCGAGCCCAGCTCTGGCTGAGAAGCCAGATGGGTCCCAGGCATGGTCCCAGCATCCTCCCGCCTCATTTTGTCTCTCCTCCCCTCGCACAGGTGCTACAACTGCGGCGGGCTGGACCACCACGCCAAGGAGTGCAAGCTGCCACCGCAGCCCAAGAAGTGCCACTTCTGCCAGAGCATCAGCCACATGGTCGCCAACTGCCCCGCCAAAGCACAGCAGTCGCCCAGCTCGCAGGGAAAGCCCGCCTACTTCCGAGAGGAGGAGGACATGCACAGCCCGGCCCTCCTCCCCGAGAGCCGGGAATGATGCTGGGTGGCGGGGAGAGGGGGCTTCCACCGGGGTGAGAAGGCTTTGGCAAGGCAAGGGGCAGGGCAGGGGCTGGGGAGGGCAGGTGGCAGTGCTGGCAGCGGGGACCTGGTGTCCCTGCACAGACCTTTCCCCCGCGCCCAGGCTGGGAAAAGCCCTGTTGGCATCAGGATGTTCCAAACCAGGGGAAGGCAGCACCCAACACGCTTCTTCCCGCTGAAAACCCCGAACATACTTGATTAATCTTTATTCTTTTCCTGTTAAGGCAGGCGGTCGTGTCTTGGGGAGGAGGAGCAGAGGGGAAACGTCCCAGGGAGGAGCTGATGGCTCCTTGCTCCCTGCGCTTCGCACGGGCTCTGGCACAGCCCGGAGGAGCCGGGGGAGCCGCTCCTGCCCGGGGCAGGCTGAGGGAAGGCTGCCTGTGCAGCACAGAGCCCGTGGGCCGGTCCCGCGGCTCCCGCTGCTCCTCGGGGCTTCTCGCTTTCAGGGAGGTCTGAGGATTTGTGGTTTTTCCACGGCTGCTCCATTGCTGACAGCAGCAGAGCCCGGATTTGGGCTCAGTCTGGGAGGGTGTGGATCCTCTCTCAGGGCTGCAGTAACACCACAGTTTGCGGGCTGTTAGCTGCAGCCTGGGGGACAGCAAGCCAAAGGAAAATCACTTTTTTTTCCCCTAATCCTCCCCAAGGGCAAGCCCAGAGAGCACAAGGTGCTTTAAGCAGCCAGCTCTTCCCTTCTCAGGCTTCTCTCAGCCTCTGGATCCTGGAGCTGGGGACACCCCTGTGCTGGGGACACATCTCAGCTGGGGACACATCTCAGCTGGGGATACCCTTTTCACTGGGGACACCTCTGTGCTGGGGACATCCCTGTGCTGGGGACACCCTGTGCTGGGGACACATCTCAGCTGGGGATACCCTCTTCACTGGGGACATCCCTTTGTTAGGGACATCCCTGTGCTGGGGACACCCTGTGCTGGGGACTCCCTGTGCTGGGGACTCCCTGTGCTGTGGACACATCTCAGCTGGGGACACCCTCTTCACCGGGGACATCCCTTTGCTGGGGACACCCTGTGCTGGGGACACCCTCTTCACTGGGGACATCCCTTTGTTAGGGACATCCCTGTGCTGGGGACACATCTCAGCTGGGGACATCCCTGTGCTGGGGACACCCCCGTGCTCCTCCTGCCCACCCCACCTGCAGAGCCCGCTGCCTCTGGGGCTGAGCCTCCCCAGGGACAGGGGACAAGGCTGTCCCAGGTTAGTGGCTGCTGTCCCCTCTCCCCAAGTCTTGCCTTTATTTATTGGCCCCGGTGGACCCCCCTTCTCCCGGGAGCCCCCCAAGCCAAGGCCAAGTGAAAGCTGCACTAGGACGTGCGTGAATGACGTATCTTTGGGTTTGTTTGTCGTCTTTGTTTTGGGTTTGTTGTTCTTTTTTTTTTTTAATATAAATATTCTGGTTTTGTATTTTTGTATATTTTAATCTTTAAGAAAAGAAAAGGAAAAAAAAGAAAAAAAAAAAGGAGAGAAAGGACATAATTCCTGCAATTTATTCTCAGGTATTCGAGCAATCTCAGGGATAAAATGCCTCTGTAGCCCAGTGCTGGACAGAGAGGAGGGTTTTTTCTAACAGCACAAAGAAATTATGAAGTTTGTATTGGAAGTGTAGATCTACCTCACTGGATGTTTGCTAGGTGGGCTGACGTGTTGTCGAGCTTTTCAAATGTGTTTTTTGGTATGTTTGGGATTTGTTTTCTTTTTTAACTGTGTTGTAGTGGTCTCTTTCCCTTCCCCATGCACTGACGGAGGATTTGGGTCTGTGGATCTGTGTGCGGGGATGGAGAAGCCAGGCAGTGCCACGGGCAGGGAAGAGGTGCCAGAGCCTGTGTCAGCTCCCAGCTCCTGAATTTCTGCCAGCCTGGTGGCTTCTGAGGCCTGTCCTCTGTTTCTCTCCCCTGCTGACTCTCCAGCTGATGGGAACACTCCAGTGCACCCCGTGCCCGAGTCCTCTGCTGCCCTTGGGCTGGGGTGTCACACAGGCTCCCAGCAGGCTGGTGGGTCAGGATGGGGGTCCCAGCCCCATGCAGGGGGCAGAGGAGGAGCAGACAGTGACCAGGGAGTGCTGGGACACAGGGTTACCCTCAGTCCCTGCCCCTCCTCTCCCTCGAGCCCGGGGCTGGCTGTCCATGGCCTCCCAGGACAGGGGAGGTGCAGCTGCTCCATCCTTTTCTCCTTCCTGGCTTCCCTAAATGCTGACTCACCATGGCCAGGAGAATCTCTGGATCCCAGAGAATCTCTGGATCCCAGGTTCTGGGGAGTGAACACTCCTCCTGCAGCCCAGGGGGTGGCTGGAGCCTTCCCAGGGCGGGTGGCCATGCTGGTGTCCAGCTCTGGGCATGTTTTCTGCTGGATTTTAGTAGCAGTAGGTTTAGCTGTGGGGCAGGGCTGGGTCAGACAGGAGCACCCACTCCATCCCCAGGGATGGGGGGCTCTGGGGGGTTCGCTGAGGCTGCTGGAGCCCAGAGACCCCCAGCACGTGGGCATTGAGGGGGATGGAGAGCAGCCCCCAGCAGCTCCCTGCCCTGCTCCAGTAGTTTAGGGTGAGGTGGTGGTCTCTTCTTGGGAGAAGGGGGAAGGACTTTTATTTTTTGACTAGCAACGGGATCTGTACAAAACTGCTTCAGGAAAACAGCTTTAGTCTGACGGGGTAAATGCAATAGAGCCTTGGGGGGTGGCTCTGGGCCTCCCCCCAGCACCTCGGCTGTGCCAGGGAAACTGCTGCCCCCTTGTCCCTGTGTCTGCCCCCTCATCCCTGTACCTGCCCCCTCATCCCTGTATCTACCCCCTCATCCTTGTACCTGCCCCCCAATTCCTGTATCTGCACCCCTTGTCCCTGTATCTACCCCCTCATTTCTGTATCTGCCCCCCCAACTCCTCTATCTGCCCCCTCATCCCTGTATCTGCCCCCCTCACCCCTGTATCTGTCCCCTCATCCCTGTATCTGCCCCCCTCATTCCTGTCTATCCTCAAGAATTCTGTAGGACCTTCCCCCCCTGCTCCCACTTTAATGGTTTGGTGATTTCTCTGTCAGGTGTCTAGTGTGTGTAAATACCTCTGTAAACCTTCCCACTTTCTCTCAGTATTCTCCTTGATTATTGTTTACAAAAATAAGAGGAAAAGAAAAAAAAAAAAAAAGAAAAAAAGTAAAAAATAATTAAAATATCCAAAGCATCTAATAGGTTATGGAGCAGGGAGATGGATCTGCTCTCCCACACAGAGCTGCCCGGTGGGAGCTCTGTAACCATCCCTGCCCTGGGCAAAGCAAGCAGGGAATCACTCAGGTTTCCCCCGGGGTGCTGGGATCTAAGAAAACAGGGATTTTAATCTGTGCTGGGAAGCCACGCTGGAGGAGATGGGATTGATTCGCATCTCCTTGTGTTGGCCATTGTGGCTCTTCCCTTCTGCTGACAATAATTAACTAAATTGCTGCATCACGGCCCACCCTGCCCAGGGGCACTATGCATGAGGGGACAGGGAGGATGGGGCACGCTCAGGGTCCTGCTGTGACACGGCACTGTTTGAATGTATGAGGAATAAAACAAAGATGTCCCTCACAAGGGGGTGTCTGCCCTGGGGCCAGAGCCTTGAGTCCCAAAAAATGTCCACGAGGAGACGGAAGAATGTAATCCATGTTTACTGCTAGCAACCAAAGCGTTGGTGTCAAACCCGTGAATTTTATGGGGTGGGAGGGAGGGGATGTGGGGTGCTGTGTGTGTGGGGGGCTCAGGGTGACCCCTGAGCAGTTACTCACACTTCCCAAAGACATTTCCTGCCGGAGTCCCTGCAGCGACATCCTCGGTTCCTGCTGCTGCAGGTTTCCCCCCTTCTGCTCATTGTGTTTTTGTTTTTGTACCAACTATGTAAAATGTGGGTGGTTTTTTTTTTTTTTCTTTTCTGGAAAAAAATAAATAATAAAGACCATGGGCAGTGGCTGCTGGTGATGTTCTCTGTGTGGTTACTTTTGTTTTTCTCTCCTGGGGTTGAGGAGCCCAGACCCCAAATGGGGGTCCCAGGGCAGGGGATGGTGCTGGGAACCACCTCCCCTGCAGCCCCCCAAAAGTGCCCCAGCCCTGTCACGGGAACACAGACCGCTTTGGGTGGAAGGGACATTAATAATCCCACCCGATAATCCCACCCCTGCCATGGCAGGGACATCTCCCCTATCCCAGGCTGCTCCAAGCGCCCATGTCCAGCCTGACCTGGGACACTTCCAGGGATCCAGGAGCAGCCACAGCTTCTCTGGGCACCCTGTGCCTCCCCACGCTCACAAAGGGAGAACTTCCTGCCAGTTTCCCTCTGTCCCTCTGAAGCCATTTCCCGTGTCCTGTCCCTCACCATCATCCCTCCCCTCACAACTCCCCCCCCACTCCACCCGCCATCTTCCCCTCCCCTCAGGGCGCCCCCATCCCCGCGCACGCGCGGTCCCGCGCGCCGCCGTGTGACGTAAGCGGAAGGGCACGTCACCCTCCGGCGGAGGCTGAGGCGGCGCCGCCGGGGCAGGTACCGGGACCGGGAGGGGCCGGGGAGAGCCGGGGCTGACCGGAGCTTACCGGGGCTTACCAGGGCTTAGCGGGCACGGTGGGAGCGGTGCGGGCGGGCTGTGTCTCCTTCCACCGTGTCTCTCCCGCCGGCGGCCGCGTCCCTCCCCTCACGGAGCCGGCGGAGGCCTGAGGGACGCTTCCCGCCCGGGAGGTCCCCTCACAACTCCCCCCCCACTCCACCCGCCATCTTCCCCTCCCCTCAGGGCGCCCCCATCCCCGCGCACGCGCGGTCCCGCGCGCCGCCGTGTGACGTAAGCGGAAGGGCACGTCACCCTCCGGCGGAGGCTGAGGCGGCAGGTACCGGGACCGGGAGGGACCCGGGGAGAGCCGGGGCTGACCGGAGCTTACCGGGGCTTACCAGGGCTTAGCGGGCACGGTGGGAGCGGTGCGGGCGGGCTGTGTCTCCTTCCACCGTGTCTCTCCCGCCGGCGGCCGCGTCCCTCCCCTCACGGAGCCGGCGGAGGCCTGAGGGACGCTTCCCGCCCGGGAGGGCCCGGGCGGCTCCCGGGAGCGGAGGCACCCGCCGGGTCTGGGTGTGCGCCCCGCTCTCGGCCGGCTCCGCTCGCTGCCGGCGGCGGGACGGGGTGCCGGGGGCTGCAGCTCCCGGGCAGCGGGCACGGGCAGCCCCCGGTGAAGGGCGTTCCTCGGCAGCCCGGGGT